GATGTTGTACAAAAAATTGTATGCTCCTTGTGCTTTTGTTAATCTAAATATTTTTCATGTAGGTACTGCATCAAAATCTAGAGCAACTAAGAAGAAAACAAGACGGCGCCCTTCTCTGACTGGGTGGTGCCAGGGCCAATCCTTTTTAAAGTTAAAAAGAATTGGCCCTAGCGCCCTCCATGTCACATTCATCGTAACGGCAACCACGGGCAAAGACCAACGAAATAATTATAGTTATTGTACTAAATTGTTTTGCTTTCAGGCTTTCATTGTTCCCTAATCTGTCTTTTCGTCAATCTGCAGCTAAGCAGCTTACTACTGCCTGCTCCAGCTGACTACTAGACGCCGTTACCAATCCTTTTTAAAGATAAAAAGAATTGGTAACCGCGCCTGCTATGTCGCACTCATCGTTGCTGCAACATGATGTATATAATTGTGTGCGTTGTATGCCTATGAATAACATATTTAATTTTTCTATGTTCTCTAAGAAAAATCAGCAGCCAAGAAGATCCGAAGTTGGCGCAGTTTACGACTGGGAGACGCCCGGACCAATCCTTTATAGGCTTATAAAGAATTAGTCCTTGCATTTTCTATGTCACATTCATCGATTTTGATACAAGAATAAAAGAATATATTGTAATTTACCAACAACTCAGAAGACCTCAAGTTGACGCCCAACACTGACTGGGTGGCGCCAGGGCCGATCCTTTTTAAAGTTAAAAGGAATTGGACCTAGCGTTCTCTATGTCACATTCATCGTCGCTGCAACTACATGCCAAGACCAACTAAGCATAATTATTATATCGATTGTTTTGCTTTCAGACTTTTATTGTTCTCTATTGTGTTTTTTGTGTAAGGGGCCGTTACCAATCCTCTTAAAAGCTAAAAAGAATTGGTGATCGCCCCTGCTATGTCACACTCATCATTGCTACAACATGTTGTTTATAATTGCGTGCGTTGTATGCCTTAGGCTAACTAACTTATTTTATTTTTATATACTCTTAATTATCAACAGTTAAGATCAGAAGTTGGCGCCCTTCATCAACTAAGAGACGCCAGGACTAATCCTTTTTAAAGTTAAAAAGAATTGGTTCTTGCATTTTCTATGTTACGCGCATCAATGCTTCGATACGCTCTGCTATAATAATGGATATAATAATGAATTCTATCTTAAATTGTACCTTGTAATTTAGTGTTGTTTCAGTATGTGCGTTTTCTTCTAACATTTTTCTTGTAATTTACCAACAGGTAAGAAGATCATAAGTTAGCGCCTCTAATCGACTAGGTGGCACCAGGGCCAATACTTTTTAGCGTTAAAAAGAATTGGCCCTAGTACTCTCTATGTCACATTCATCGTTGCTGCAACACTCTACTGGTCAAGACCAAAAAATTTACAACTAATGTGCGTTGCTTTCAGGCTATTTACTTTCTAAAACTTTTTTATTTATTTATTTATAAACTATATATACATACTACTATCCTAACAGGAACTAATACCTAATGCAATAGTGTATGCCAATATTAATAAAATTAAATTACAAAGTCTAATTTTACAATTTGGTACTACAACATTTATAACTATGGTAACAAACATATTCCTTAGGCCAAGTCACAGATGGGTACAGGTATAGTAACAGGCTCTTCTGAATTCGTTCAGTGTACAATAAAATAAGTCAATGTATTCCGACATCACATTGAGCGTCCGCAGCGTCCGCGTCAGGGGCGCGCGCTGTAGGAGGTTGGTGCGTGCGCGTGGTATCGCCAGCAGCTTACTACTGCTTGCTCCAGTTGACTAGTAGACGCCGTTACCAATCCTTTTTAAAGACAAAAAGAATTGGTAACCGCGCCTGCTATGTTGCACTCATCGTTGTTGCATCATGCTACATTATAACTTAATTGTAAATGTACAAAATACCTGTTTCCTGTCTGCGTTTTTGTTTATTTCAATTTCACGTGTAATTTTATCTACAGCTAACAAGATCTCAAGTTGGCGCCCTTTACTGGCTGGGTGGCGCCAGGACCAATCCTTTTAAAGTTAAAAAGAATTGGCCCTTGCACCCTCCATGTCACATTCATCGATGCTACAGCGTTCTACGATACAAGACTGGAGAAATATTTATTAGGCTTTGTTGTATTTTTTTGTAAATTATGTATTTTACCTGTAATTAATCTGCAGCTATTAGGCTTACAGGATCCGCTCCAGCTGACTAGTAGGCGCCGTTACCAATCCTTTTTAAAGTTAGAAAGAATTGGTAACCGCGCCTGCTATGTCTCTCTCATCGCTGCATTGACGTGTCGTGTGTATGCTTTTTGTATATTATAAATAAACTATTTATGAGCTTTTGTGTTTTGTGGAACAAAATTTTGGAAATTATTTACAGCATACAAAGTTACAAGATGGAAGATCTTGCCTGACTAGGTGGCACCAGGGCCAATCCTTTTTAAAGTTAAAAAGAATTGGCCCTAGTACTCTCTATGTCACATTCATCGTTGCTGCATCACACTACTGGACAAGACCAATAAACTTACAACTAATATCTGCCTTTAAGCTGTCTATTTTCTAAGAAGCTTACTAATGCCTGCTCCAGCTGACCAGTAGGCGTCGTTACCAATCCTTTTTAAAATTAAAAAGAATTGGTAACCGCGCCTGCTGTGTCCCTCTCATCGCTACAGCAACTTGTCGTGTGTGTGTGTCGACTAATCCTTTTTAAAAATAGAAAGAATTACGCTAATTACGCTAAGTCATTCTCATCGCCCCTGCAACTTGTCGTGTGTGTGTGTGTGTGTGTGTTGTTTACAATTTATTTTGTTTAAAAATTAATCAATTTATATTGTTTGTATGTTATAATATTTACTTACAGATTGCTACAGCAATTTCAAGATAGAAGATTGTCTCAGACTAGGAGGCGCCAGGGCCAATCCTTTTTAAAGATAAAAAGAATTGGCCCTAGCGCTCTCTATGTCACATTCATCGATGCTGTTCGCTACAATACAAGGATAAAGGAATATAATATGTAGCTTATTGTACTACTGTTCTAATCTCGGCATTTTTCAACGACTAAAAAGATCTCAAGTTGGCGCCCATCACTGACTGGGTGGCGCCAGGGTCAATCCTTTTTAAAGATAAAAAGAATTGGCACTAGCACCCTCCACGTCACACTCATCGATGCTATTCGCTGCGATACAAGAATAAAGGAATATAATATTATGTAGCTAATTATAATATAGTTTTAATCTCTGTGTTTTGTTCTGACCTGTCAATTTTCCTAGTAATTTACTAACAACTAAGAAGATCTCATGTTGGTGCCCTCACTGACAGGGTAGCGCCAGGGTCAATCCTTTTTAAAGATAAAAAGAATTGGCCCTAGCGCCCTCCATGTCACATTCATCGATGCTGTTCGCTGCGATACAAGAATAAAGGAATATAATATGTAGCTTATTATACTACTGTTTTAATTTCTGCGTTTTCCAACGACTAAAAAGATCAGAAGTTGGCGCCCATCACTGACTGGGTGGTGCCAGGGCCAATCCTTTTTAAAGAGTAAAAAGAATTGGCCCTAACGCCCTCCATGTCACACTCATCGATGCTACATCGTTCTACAGAACAGGACAAAATTGTCATGTTATAAGTGGGCCTTATTTCGGTCTTTGTTTTTTCTAGTTTAAATTTGATTTATTTACAGCTAACAAGATCCTCAATTGGCACCCAACACTGACTGTTTGGCGCCAGGGGGAAGCATTTTTAATGTTAAAAAGATTTGGTTTTAGCGTCCTCATGCCACACTCATCGCTTCTGCAACACGTACCAAGACTTGAAATGTTGCAAGAATGTCGAGAACGGATATATGTCGCTTATCACACTGTATTATGAATTTAACCTATTTAATAGTGAACTCTATGTAAAACTATATTTGACATACTTTTATGCGAATAATAAAACTGAAGGTTTTCATTTCTATCTCTGGAATAAGAAATGGTTAAGGTACTGGTACTCAGATAATGAATCCCTTTAATATTACAATTAGACATACGCAGAGCATTTGGTTAGAACTAAATTTAGTATGTGTGTTACTAATAATTCTTTGGAAAACAATTGTAAATATATAAATATAAAATAGATACTACTATAAAATTTAAGGACACAATATTTTTATTGTAATCCTGTCAAGAAAGAAGAATTTATGACCAGTCAAGAAGATCTCAAGCTGGCGCCCTTCACTGACTAGGTGGCGCCAGGGCCAATCCTTTTTAAAGTTAAAAAGAATTGGCCCTAGCGCCCTCTACGTCACAACCATCGTTGCTGCAACATGCTACAAGACAAACAATGCTATATTAATCAAGATTTATACTTAAGTCAATATTTCAGTGTTTGAAAAATGAGAAGATGTCGAAACAAGAAAAACGCCGCTAACGACTAGGGGACACCAGGGCCAATCCTTTTTAAAGTTAAAAAGAATTGGCTCTAGCGCCCTCTATGTCGCATTCATCGTTGCTGCAACACGCTACGCTACAAGACTTGCAACATTACTAAAAATTTAAGGATTTTGTTATTAGAATATTTTTTATATTGTCCCTAAACGGTCACTCACCGGCGACCGCTCTCCACTAACTACATTATAGACCTTATTTCCAATATTTAGAGACTACTTTTGTATGAACTTAGGGGATGATATGACTGCCGGGCAAGGGGTCTCATTTTCGATTTCCATGTCAGGCAAAATATTACTGGGTTTTTAAAAAAAATCTCAGTTGTAGCACGGAGTCTGGAATTGTGAAACCACCTATTTATTACATGGGACTCATAACATAAATAGTGAAAAGTGGGTGTTACATTGTACAGTGGTATTTAGTGCCGTAATGTGCACCTCTGACTTTCCCTTCGGGGATAAGTCGGGGATAGATAAAAGTGTTGACGGTCGCCCAGCTACCGCGCCAACCCTGCAGTCAATATAGATTTTTAATAAAATACAGATGTTTACAAATATTTCATTTTGTTCCAGGTCTCGAAAGTATGGAGTTTTTGCCCGAACATAATGCCATCAAATTCTTCGGTGACACAGATTTTGAGCACCTTTACAAAAAGGATGGCTTGATAGAGAGCTTCAAGGATACGCCGTTGACAATATCCAGTGAAAACGGATCTGTACTGCTGAATTTACAGACAAAGTTAGTATTTTTATTGACTTCTAAGTAAATATTAAATATTAATACTAAGTTTTTATTATTAATAAATTATAAAAACTTGCTGGACTACTTCGTTGGCCTAGTGGTCGCAAGTGCGACTGCCGAGCAAGGGGTCTCGGGTTCGATTCCCGGGTCGGGCAAAGTGTTACTGGGTTTTTAAAAATTCTTAGTAGTAGCACGGAGCCTGGAATTGTACCCGGTATATGGTAATAGGCTCACCCCCTATTTACATGGGACTCATAACATAAATAGTGAAAAGTGGGTGTTACATTGTATAGTAGCATAATGTGCACCTCTGCCTACCCCTTCGGGGATAAAAGGCGTGATGTTTTGTTATGTTATGTGTTATAAACATTCGTGAGACATACTAACTAAATAATTATTATGTTTTCGGCTTAATGAGCCTATTAATATGAGCCTCTAGCATGGCTTGCAACTAGTCGGATTCCTCGTAAAATAGTTACGTGGGCCGAAAACATAATAATTGACTTCTAAGTATTTCGTAGTATATTTGTGATTTTCACTGCAGCAAAGATAAAACGGAGAATTTCTAAAATCGCGATGCGGATATTGCAACTACAACGTGAGTTGTTCATCATCATCCATTATGATTAAGATTATTGACTATGATTATTGATGAGGGATTAAAATGTAAAAGGCGTGCAGCTATTCACATAGCTTACGCACACGCCTTTTACATTTTAATCCCTGAACGGGTACAGCTAAGTCCCACAAGCGCTATTTTTTTTTTAAACGTTGCCCCACATTAGGATTTTCTCCTGTGTCGTGGGTGCGTTTACAAACATACAAATTCACATACACAATTTATTTATTTTTTTATTTATTTATTTCTTTATTTCAGGCAACTGTGGCCCATATAAAATGTAATACACAAATAAAAAAAAATACAATACAAAACTAAAAAAATACAGATACCAAAAAATTAAAACATTAATAAACTAATAGATATACAATAACAATGACACCCAGACCCGAAACAACAATTTGTGGATCACATAAAGTGTTGTTCCGTGCGGGAATCGAACCCGCGACACATTGCACGGCAGCCGGTTGCCCAACCACCGCACCAACCGTGCATTCAGCTATTAAGTGTCCACCATAGCCCAGCTGGTCCAATCTCACCTGTCATTGGTCGAGATTATACATTCTCACAACCAATGATATGGTGGACAGCGATCCAGCCAACTTCGATCTTTCAAATTGAAAGATACAGAAAAGCCTAGCAGTTATATTTTGAGTATTGTGTGATAAGGGATGAGCTCATTGTTATATACGGACTCCATAATGCTAACATCAACATAAAGCGCTGCATCCCCACAACCCAGCCGTCGCGAAGGACGCTCCGGGTGTCGGGGATGGCTCGAAGACGCGACGCGATCTCCGGCCACGCGGACGGCGAGCATGGGTACCTCAACTATGTTATAAGTCCATGGGCGCCAATGCCTACCATCAGGAAATTCGTCTGCTCGTGTACCTCTTAAGAAAACTAACATTTTATTTGCAGACCATCTCGCTACGAGAACAAGTTGACAGTGAATACCTCAGGAGTGTTCGTCCGTGGAGTATCGGCGATGGAGCTGACAGACCCTGACTCCGGCGAGGTGGTGTTCAGCACGGCAGCCACTGAGATGAACGTGCCAGACGGAGTAGGGAATGTTCATGCTAAGGTTTTTTGTTTTTTTTTTTGATGTCTATGCTTGTTTTTAGCTATCTGACCTCAGTAGGGCTGATGCCCGATACGGAGCTGCGGAAGTCCTAATGGGTTGCAGGGGCTCCAGCTCAAAGAGCAGTAGTAGGAACGATGTGGTTTTCAGTCAGTAAGAGTATGACACTCCCTCTCGCCTAACCCAAGGTGGGAGAAGTCATTGGATGATTTTTCCCACGAAAAAAAATGCTATCTAAACTATAGTACAAAATACATACACAACATCACGCTTTTTATTCCTGAAGGGGTAGGCAGAGGTGCACATTATGCCACTACAATGTGACACCCACTTTTCACTATTTATGTTATGAGTCCCATGTAATAGGGGGTGAGCCTATTGTGAGTCCCATGTAATAGGGGGTGAGCCTATTGTGAGTCCCATGTAATAGGGGGTAAGCCTATTGTATAGTACAATATGTATTTGTTAAATACGTATATAATTTTCTTCTGTGCCGTGGGTGCGCTAACAATCATGCAAACACACACCCAGGCTCGGAACAACAATTTGTGAATCACACAAAGTAAGTATTGCCCCGTTTTGGCGCCTCCGCAATTGGAGCATTGTGGCGCCCCTGTGCAACCTGGCGCCCTAGGTACTTGCCTAGTTTTGCCTTAGGGAAAATACGGCCCTGTGTATTAGGTACAATCAACACAATAGGGTAGATGCCTAATTTTTATTTTAATGTCCGTCTGGTAGATTATTTTAAATAATTAGACACTTATTTTTTCTTTTCTCACAGAAACTAATACTTTCGACGATATATTGATTTGAAATGTCGCGTGACGTCACTTCTATGAACATTTTATACGTAGAAATGACATAAACATTGATATGTTTTATCTAAGTATTGTTTTATTATACGACAAAATAAAAAAAATATGTGTCTAATATTTTTTCATTACCTAACCTAACTAATTAGATTTTTAATTTTCATACCCCGTCATCATCCCAATTCTAACCATCTTTCACTATCTTTTCAGCAAGTAATAGTAAAGCGCATAGCGGCTCCCACCGACGAGGACCTGCTCCTCCGCTCCGAAGCCTCAGCATACCTTCGAGGAGCCGAAGGAACGCACATGGAATCTAAAGAGCTATTCTGGAGCGCTGACCAGGACATATACTTGAAATCTATTAACGGTTCCATAGTTTTAAGCGGCAAAGATGGCGTATTTATCGATGTTAGATACCTTCCAATCGCCAGCTCAGTGAACAGAACTGATAAATATAGTCAGGGGACGGGTCAGTTCAAAATTTGCGTGTGTATGCCTCAGGGGAAGTTGTTCAGGATTGCTGTGCCGACTGGACAGAAGGTTTCTTGTGCACATATTAATATGACGGGGGATTTGAATCCTTGCATATGAATTATTTGTGTTGTTGTTAGTTTCTTTGTCTGGAACTGTTGCACTGCTGGGTGTTTGTATTCTTATGTAGGAAATGAATTGTTTTGTATGTAGATTAAAAACAATGTAATTTCTGTTATGGATTATTTTATAGATCTAGGATAACGATGGTTATTAAATTTTACGTTTTTTATACCCTTTGTAATTACAATACTTAACTACCTATTTATTTATTTATTCAACAAAAGTACAATTTGTACAACAAAGGAATAACATTTTGTTCTTATAATTAAAGTTTAATAAATGAAGTTTTTTATTCTATATTTTTTCACAAAATAAGTACAAATGTGGGCCTAATTTTAATATAAATTAAACTTTAAGATCTGTTTCATAACATCTAATTACGAAATGATTGGTAAAATGAACCGTATTATCCCATAAGGCAAAGCCAATTGCCTAGGGCTCCAAAGTATTAGGGATGGCTCTGAGGCGCTATCGTGTTGGCCCGGAGGTTTAAGACGTCCGCTTCTCAATGAGGGTTCGAAACCTACCAACGGCAAGTACCAATGTGACTTTTTCTGAGTTATATGTACTTTCTAAGATTATCTAGACACTACTGACAAACGGTGAAGGAAAACATCGTGAGGAAACCTGGGCTTATAATTTCTAAATATAAGTTGAAATCGCCAACCCGTATTGAGCAAGCGTGGTGATTAATGGTCAAACCTTCGTGTGAGACGAGGCTTTACTCAGCAGTGGGCATTTATAGGCTGTTGATGATGATGAGGCGCCCAGCGCTCTTTAAACGTATTCCACCTCTGTATTACACCTGAGTTACTGTTTATATTGACAATACCAATATTTCTTACCTAATATTTATTATTATAGCATTTTTGTATTTTTACTGTAACAAAATAGTAAATGCCGTAAAATAGGGTGAATAGGTGCGGACGAGGGGTGAATAGACATTGGTAAATTCTTCATAATATAACATATAACATCATGTCTTTTATCCCTGAAGGGGTACAGCATTACGGCACTTAATGCCACTGTACAATGTAACACTCACTTTTCACTATTCATGTTATGAGTCCCATGTAATAGGGGGTGAGTTTATTGACATATACCGGGTATAATTCCAGATTCTGTACTACTATTGAGAATTTGAAAAAAGCCCAGTTGTACTTTGCCCGACCCGGAAATCCAAACCAAGACCCCTTGCCCGGCAGTCGCACTTGCGACCACTCGGCCAACCAAGCAGTCAGGCAGGGAAATTCTTCATAGTATCGATTCCTCCCTCCTCTGTCCCTTTTCACCCCATTTTACTGTAATTAAAGTAGAATAATTATAGACCAAAATTTTTACAAAAAATCGCGGGTTACTTCCGTGAATATACTGAGAAAAGCTCTACTAGTTTCGAACGACAGAGGAGTTCTGGCTAGCGTTGGCGCTCGCATCGGTATTGCTACTTGCGCTGCGAGCTCCTCGCGCCCTCTGCCGGACACCACGAGCGTTTGCTTCCAACTCCGGCGGCGGCGCGTGCGACAATGTTGAATCGCACGGTACGTTCACCAGCGGGGCGGGTGGTTCGAAACTAGTAGAGCTTTTCTCAGTATATTCACGTGAGTAACCCGCGATTTTTAGTTAATTTAGTATGTCTCACGATAGTTACTATAACACTCAAAACTTTTGTATGAAAACAATAGTCGATATACTGTTTTATGTAGTTCTAAGTAGCGAAATGTATTATGTATACATGTTTTAGCCAAATATAAACCAAAGTTAAACGTTATTAAGGAAAATATTCAAACTGTAAGCGCTTTAATAGGTACTTAGAATGAGTTCGGTATACAAATACTTACTTACCGTAAATAGAAACGTCACCGCGTTTGACGGTGTTGAAATTGGGTACTTTACTTAGTCATAAATAAATTATTTCAACTGTTCAATACAATAAAAATACAAAAAAAATAATCACGCTTTCATTAATTGATTTTATGACCAAATTAATTTTAATATTTTTCCAGCAAATTTTTAAGAAATAACTATGTTGTTTGCCGCTAAAAAACGTGACGTCACAATACACAATCTCGTACAAAATTCATAGAAAACTGTCGTTTTTGACAGTTCGATAAAAAGTATTGAATTTGACTAGTTGGCAAATACCCAATTCTGTAACATATCTAACTTTGTATATCAAATTGGTAATACAATTAAGAATGTATGTTAATTGTTAACTAATAAATAAATAATGTAGTCAATATATTTCGTGTTTTTATTATTTAACATTGATACCATGGTCGTTGAAAAAAGGGCGGACATACGCCCGAACACTGGAAACTTAATAAGTCGTAATTAAATAGCGTGCGTACGTAACTACGAGACGTATAAACGCATTCGAGATGTGGCGTTACCGTCGTATGCTCCAATGCTGATTTGGAGCATACGACGGGTCAGTAACGACCGCGTCCAAATGACCCTGAAAATTATGCTAACCATCAAAAAGCGAAAAATCGAATATCTCGGTCACGTGCTTAGACGCGATAGATATTCACTGCTTCAACTGATCATGATGGGCAAAGTGGAGGGGAAGAGACGTGCTGGGCGCAGAAGAAAATCGTGGCTGCGAAACATCCGGGAGTGGACCGGCATTACATGTGTCGAACAATTGTTCCGCATGGCTACCGACAAGGAGAAATACAAGAAGCTGACGGCCGACCTTCAACATTGAAGAGGCACTATGAGAAGAAGAAGAAATAGCGTGCCATCTCTGTAATTTTACCCGGGCGTGGGGCGTTCCGCGCGCGCCTCAAAGAGCCATCAGACCACCACGGATGGAGCCCAATAGGGCGTCTGCCAATACGGAGCCGCGGGGAACTTAACAGGTTACCGGGGCTCCGGCACGAAGTGCAGATTCCTCATTGCGACTTTGTTTTACGCTTAAAGCAATCGTAACGAGTACGCGTTCGGCGTCCTGATTGGCCGGCTCAAGTGAACCAACCAATCAGGGTTAACTCGCTCGATACTGTTACGATACGAATGCGATAGTTATTCGTGCTTGGCCCTCTGATTGGTTGGTTCATTGGCGCCGGCCAATCAGAGTGCCGAACGCGAACTCGTTTCGAATACTATAAACTTAAATCAAAATAGTATTAAGGCCTCAGGAGTAGGAACGGACTGGTTATTGGTCAGTTGAGGAGTCTGACACTCGCTCTCGCCTCACCCGGGCGGGAGAAGTCATTGGACGATTATCCTCCCTCAACATAGGGGTCGATGTGGTCTGGAATAACAGATGACCTACTTCTTACAGCTGGGCGCTGGCAGAAGCTGGTATAAATAAAACAAAAATCCTCCATCGTTCAGAATTTAATTCTTCAATTTTAAAAACTATATATATAAAATACACACGACAATTCTGAATAATTTTCTTCATTATTATAATTTTCAAACTACAATGGTACCACGACACCTTTGTTTTAGGGAGCGGGGCAGAGATCTAAGTCAATAAAAGCAAATTACACAACCTTTATTTCTTTTAATATTTTGTTAATTTTAACATATGACTAATCTTTGTTTAACAAGGTGAAACGAGCAGACGGATCACCTGATGGTAAGCAATCGGCGTCGCCCATGGACACCTGGAACACTAGAGGCGTTACAAGTGCGTTACCGGCCTTTTGGGGATTACGAATTTGTTTCTATACTATTATTCTGCAAAATATGACGTCACACTAGAGGGGGAGGCTCACAAATGTGACTAGCTGTTACAAGGACGGGGGGGGGGGGCAAAAAAGTCATGTTTTTGTGTGACGTAATTCATGACCTCTTTATAATCAAAAATTAGTCATACGTAACAAATCGAAATTTATCTTATAACATCGACAACTTCCAAAAACTCCCGCTACAGGCGCTGGTGTCGAAAACAGTCAACTCGAAGCAATTTTTTATTTTAAAAAATACATTTCATTAACTTTATAATCCTACCTGACAATAATGTAAACATATAATTATACGAAAAATGTTGAGGCCATCTTATATCTTATCTATATAAGAACTAGCTGACCCGGCAAACGTTGTTTTGCTATTAAAAAATATGTAAAATGGCTATTAAAAAATAAGGGTTGATCGTAGAAGGGTGAAAATTGAGGATTGTATGTATTTTTGTATGTTGTATCACAAAAAAATAGAAATAAAAAAATTGTCTAAAAAAATTTAGGGGTGGACTACCCCTAACATTTAGGGGGATGAAAAATAGATGTTGGCCGATTCTCATAGATACCGGATAAGCACAAAAAATGTCATCAAAATCGGTCAAGCAAACTGTGACACGAGAATTTTATATATTAGATAAGTCGGGTTTTCCTTCCTGACGCTATAACTCCAGAACGCACGAACCGATTTCCACGGTTTTACATTCGTTGGAAAGGTCTCGGGCTCCGTGAGGTTTATAGCAAAGAATGTTACATAAAACGACGCCATCTGGTGGCGAAACGGACTTCGCCAGGTTTACTAGTCTTATCTAAATATAACACATGTAACATCACGCCTTTTATCCCCGAAGAGGTAGGCAGAGGTGCACATTACGGCTCCTAATACCACTGTACAATGTAACTTTATCTATAAATTTCCGAGTTATATGTACTTTCTAAGATTATCTAGACACCACTGACAAACGGTGAAGGAAAACATCGCGAGGAAACCTGGACTTATAATTTCTAATTATAAGTTTGAAATCGCCAACCCGCATTAATGCTCCAACCATAGATAAATAATTTAAGGTAGTGTTTATGTCAAAAATCACACTAATATTATAACTATGGTAGTTTCTTTGTTTGTATGTTCGTCCGTCAATCACGCTGAAACTACTGAACGGATTTTGATGACATTTGGTATATAGGCAGGGTGTGGGCAGACTTAGGTGATAGGATACTTTTTATCCCGATTAAATGCTCCCATGGGATAAAATGATACGCGGACAAAGCCGCGAGAAAAGGTTAGTCATTAATAAAACATCATCCATAGTCCATCACAGTCCACTGCTGCACTATGAGTCTCCTCTACATAAGAGGGTTTGTCATAATCTCCGCAGGCAGGCGGGTTGGAGGTTGCAGTATAAAAGGTTCAGGTTTATCAGAGAGCGCTGCTGCTAAGTCTCTGTCAAATGTAGCCAGTTCAACTTAGTCGGGTATGTGACACCCACGTGAAGAACAATGTTGGTGAACAAAATTTTTCGTATAAAAACAACGAGAATTATAATCTAAAAACTACTAATATAGTAAAAAACATTCATATATATACAAAATTATAAGTAAAATGGATTAAACTGTATTTTAATTCACTCGTACATTCATTTAACATTCATTGACAATAGTTATATTTTTTTCATTTTGACACAAAAATACGTCGAGTTTACTATTGAAACACAAATACACACTTCTTTAACAACACCATCATAACATCACGCCTTTTATCCCCGAAAGGGTAGCCAGAGGTGAACATTACGGCACTTAATGCCACTGTACAATGTAACACCCACTTTTCACTATTTATGTTATGAGTCCCATGTAATACGGGCACATATAGGCTACTTTACATTTCACGAAAATGCGGGCGAAGCCGTCGGCAGAAGCTGTATGTGTAATTTAAGTTATAGTGTATAATTTATGTTTCAATAGTGCAAAATGTTGACTTTTCAAATCATATCGAAATTTCAGTATATTATTTTAAAATATTATATGACATACGAACATCTTATTATATTTATATAGGGTGCAAACGGCACGCTCGCGAAAACGCTGACAAAAACCTAGCTTCACTGACGGATACTGACAGACTATTATTTATTTTGTACTAGCGACCCGCCCCGGCTTCGCACGGGTGCAATATGCATGTATTATACATATAAACCTTCCTTAAGAATCACTCTATCCATTAAAAAAACAGCATCAAAATCCGTTGCGTAGTTTTAAAGATCTAAGCATACATAGGGACAGACAGACGGCGGATAGCGACCTTGTTTTATACTATGTAGTGATTTGCTGACGTTTCAAAAGTACCAAATTATTGTTTAATTGAAATAAATGCCGACTTTAAAAAGAAAACAGATGTTACAATTATAATCGTTTTTTTATGGAATAGGAGGCAAACGAGCAGACGGATCACCTGATGGTAAGCGATCAGCGCCGCCCATGGACACCTGGAACACCAGAGGAGTCGTTGCCGGCCTTTTAAAAAGGAGTACGCTCTTTTCTTGAAGGTTTGAAGGTCGTATCGGTTCGGAAATACCGCCGACGATATATATACAAGGTACAACACCTTGCATTGATGTTACAAGTTGTATCAAGACATTACACACTGTATCGTTACATGCCGCGCAGTGTAACGCTCGGTTCTCCTTCACTGATGTAACGCTCAGACCTGTAACGTTACGTTACACGCGAATGTCCCGGCGAGGGAGCACCTTTATGCATGAGAAGCGAGCGTCTTAAACCTCCGGGACACGACGACTTGTGTGAAACTATAACTTGTATTGTACCATCCCTTGTCATTGTTTGTCGGGAGAGATCCGTCTACACCCAGTATACAATGTAACACCCCCTTCTTCACTTATGTTATGACTCCCATGTACTGGCAAGCACTGAAACACTATCGGGGATACGAACCTGCACTCTTTAGCAATCAAATAAAGTCTGTAATGTTGACTGCCTCGATGGCCGAGTGGTCGCAAGTGCGACTGCGGGGCAATGGGTCTCGGGTTCGAATCCTGGGTCGGGCAAAGTATTATAGGGTTTTTTATAAAAAATCTCAGTATCATCAGATATATGGCAATAGGCTCACCCCCTATTACATGGGACTCATAACATAAATAATGAAAAGTGGGTGTTACTTCTGTGTGCACCTCTGCGTACCGCTTCGGGGATAAAAGGCGTGATGTTATGCTGAAAATCGTTACTAGAATCGACATTTCCGATACTACAAGAGCTATATACCAATATTCGCATGTCATATATTGTCATAGGATTGTATAACAGTGCCATCGGGACCTACGACAGAGTTATAAGTCGCCATGACGTCGCGCCATACATATGCTATCAGTCGTTATTCGACACAGTCCACATATAAAACTGAGCACTGATTGTCACTTTCACACAGCACCGGAGTTCGGTTCCCCGCTCACAATTTGGTACGTTATTAAATACTCCGGATACGCCTGGAACGAGAAAAAAAACATTTTTATAATAATAATAATAATACAGCAGTTTTTTAGTAGATATATTAGTTAAAATAAATATGTAATACTTGTCTGGGGAATCGAACCCAGGACCGGACTTAATCGACAACTCGATCACTCGTCCTCGATTTCGTGCCTAACTTCACAACAGTATTTTCAATACATACCATTTTCGAGCACGCACCGATTACTTTCGGATAAGAACAGGGACTCATAAATATGTAAATTATTCATGATTGATTTTAAACTTCACATAAATGGAAGAGCGTCCTATCAGTTGGGGGTCGCGGGTTCGATTCCTAACATCTACATTTATTAAAATAATTATTGTTTTACCTGTTCCCCTCTGTAGACGACATACTCGGGGAAGCAGAGTCCCCCCTGCGAGGGTCTGCCGGCGACGGAGTGGTGGCCGGGGGGGGCGTGCGCCATCTTCATCGCAGACATCAGTTGGAAGGCGCGACCTAATGTTACGCGGCAGAGGAGCATTTGTCTGAAAAGAGTGAATTAGATATGAAGGTGTTATGATACGGGTCTAGACACACGGACGGCTTTTGAAAGAAAGAAAAAACATTTATTCTACAGTAGGCACGCACACAGATACAAAACAAAACAAAATTAAAAAGGAAAAGAACAAATAATTACTATGTATATTTTATATAGATATAGAGAAAAAAAAATTGGTTGCCTGTAAAGTCGGTATACGGGTGAAAGTTTTACGTGACAACGACTTTGAGTGGTAAAATAATTTTAATGTGAATATTCATTCGTATAGTAGGAAGAAGGATGAAATAATATCTCTCTCAGTCTCTCTCTCTCGCTCTGTCTCTCTCGCTCTTAGGCGGGCTAACTGTGCTCGAGTGGAAGGGACGCGTGCCTTTCACTTTTTATGTCTGTCTCTCTCGCTCTTAGGCGGGCTAACCATGCCCGAGTGGAAGGGACGCGTGCCTCTCACTCGCTCTCATTGTGAGCGCATAACGTGAGCGGAGCGTAACGCAGTTTCTTGAAGTGTCACCCGGCAAACCAATTTATAAGACGTTGTCACGTCAAAAACAATGAAACGACAGAGTATAACGACACAGTGACAATACAGTAATAACACAGCTGCAATCCAACCGCAAGTTGCAGTTCGGACTCAGTTTGAATGCAGTCGTGGCACGATTGCAATTGTACTGCAAACTAAAGTCCGATTGCAGTTCTATTGCAGTCATGACCAAAATATAAATGAACATCTTTATATATATGTCGGAGGAAGCTGGGAGTTAATTGTTACTTGCATTGCATAACGCACATTAATTTTTATTTGTTTTTTATTCACTTTTTAAAATGTCTAAATTAATTTAAAATGATTTGTCACACTTAAAATTCTTAATTTGATTTATTAGAATTATTAATAATTTGAATTTGACTGCCTAAGTAACGACCAATCAGAGCAGAGCGCGCGCCTCGAGCGGGGTCGAGGCGCCATCTTACTGATAAAAAGGGAGATAGTTTTGGCGGGACAGCATGAATTGGCTATCGGTCGAGTTGGATCGTTTATGTGATTTACTGTAAGATCGGTGCCCTGAACCCGCTGCTCAGTCCTAATTATTAACTTTTCTTTTGCGTTATTGTGAAACAGATAAAACTATTGTTACTATCTAAATTAAAAGAGTGTTTATTGTGATTATTGCGTTTTGTGCTCGCATTTTACCCTCATGACGCCCACTAAGCCCGCAATCACAAATGACGATGTCGGCGATGACAATGTTTCTCCGACATATAGGTATATAATTCTTCTGTAAGTGTGTATGCCACTGAACTTCTCTCAAACGACTGGACCGATTTTGATGAAATTTTTTGTATGTGTTCAAGGGAATCTGGGAATGATTTAGATTCACAAATCAGCCCGGCAGATGGCGCTGCAGTCGATTTTTAGGTTATTCATCCTAACCAGGTGAACTAATTTGAATGAATTTTTGTTTATACATTCAAGTGGATATGCAGGACAACGTCTGTCGGGTCCGCTAGTCTATTATAAAATGTATTATTGTGCTTACCTATGACACAAATAGCAGCTCCTATCTTTATGCGCGGGGCAGCCGGAGCCGCCCCCGAACCCGTACACGTACTGGTTGCTCTTGGACGAGTGCTCGGCGAAATATATACCGGCGCCGAACATACCGCCTGGAATAAAGTACAAGTAAACATACATACTATTGAGTGTACGAACATCGGTGAGCCTGTACATACAGATGTGTTGTATGAGTGTTTAGATAGATGTATATGTGTGAGTGTCGCTAGCAGCGTACAAACTGTTTGTGTACAATTATTATAATAAATCATATTTAAAGTGATTAAAACCTGCGTGTTCTTTTGTCCTAACACAATTAACTAAAAATCGTGGGTACAAATAGAGAGAGAGAGAATACAATAAAATATTTAAAAAAATCACACTTTCATTAATTGATTTTATGAGCAACTTAAGTTTAGTATTTATTCAGCAAATTTTTATTAAGAAATAAGCATGATGTCTGTCGGTAAAAAACTGTGACGTCACAATACACAATCTCGTAGAAAATCAATAGAAAACTCTCGTTTATAACAGTTCTAAAAGAAGTATTGAATATGACTACTTGGCAAGTACTAAATTACTCTCCATCCTCAATTAAAAACTCCCCCAATTCTTAAATCCCTAACCTCCAAAAGATCAGCAACGCACTTGTAACTCCTTCGGTGTTCCAGGTGTCCATGGACGGCGCCGATTGCTTACCATCAGGTGATCCGTCTGCTCGTTTACCGGCTTATACCATAAGTATAACCAGGTCATAAGTCTACAGAATCGTGCAAATGAAAGTAAACTCACCAATATAAGCGTGTCGTTCATCGAATCCCTTCTGCACGATGGCGTTGATGAATGGGCTCCCGTGGAACAACATCCGCTCGTTGTGCGCGCCGGCCTCCTCCAGCACCTCGCGGCGCCGGTGCTGGTACCGCTCCCACAGACGCCCGTTCACCAGCTTCTGTATCTGTTCAGGCAAAGATAAATAATCATTAAAACGGAAGCCTAATTACACCCCCAAACCCCAAACCCCCGAATCGCTGAATCCCCAACAATCCTCAAACTCCTAATCCCCGAAACGCCGGTAACGCACTTGTAATGCCTCGGGTGCTCCAGGTGTCCATGGGCGACGCCGATAGCTTACCACCAGCAGCTGTAGCCAAATGCCATTTAGCGCTCGCTTGTCTATATGTAGAATATAAAACCAAAATATATGGAACTGACGTAAATTTTGACACTTGTCAGTGTCATCCCCGTACATTTAGTTTTCTACTCTCTCTGTAGACAAGCGCTAAAGTGGCGTTTGACTAAAGGCACTGGTGATTCGTCTGCTGGTGTACCTGCGTTGCGGACGGTGCCCTGCATCTCCCGCTCCACGATGGAGTACTCGCTGTCCGCGATATACATACCCTCACAACATTATAGTGCGTGAAGCTCCCCCCCGCGTGGTCCCTGTGCGCGCGGACGGTGCCCTGCATCTCCCGCTCCACGATGGAGTACTCGCTGTCCGCGACATACATACCCTCACAACATTATAGTGCGTGAAGCTCCCCCCCGCGTGGTCCCTGTGCGCGCGGACGGTGCCCTGCATCTCCCGCTCCACGATGGAGTACTCGCTGTCCGCGACATACATACCCTCACAACATTATAGTGCGTGAAGCTCCCCCCCGCGTGGTCCCTGTGCGCGCGGACGGTGCCCTGCATCTCCCGCTCCACGATGGAGTACTCGCTGTCCGCGACATACATACCCTCACAACATTATAGTGCGTGAAGCTCCCCCCCGCGTGGTCCCTGTGCGCGCGGACGGTGCCCTGCATCTCCCGCTCCACGATGGAGTACTCGCTGTCCGCGACATACATACCCTCACAACATTATAGTGCGTGAAGCTCCCCCCGCGTGGTCCCTGTGCGCGCGGACGGTGCCCTGCATCTCCCGCTCCACGATGGAGTACTCGCTGTCCGCGACATACATACCCTCACAACATTATAGTGCGTGAAGCTCCCCCCCGCGTGGTCCCTGTGCGCGCGGACGGTGCCCTGCATCTCCCGCTCCACGATGGAGTACTCGCTGTCCGCGACATACATACCCTCACAACATTATAGTGCGTGAAGCTCCCCCCCGCGTGGTCCCTGTGCGCGCGGACGGTGCCCTGCATCTCCCGCTCCACGATGGAGTACTCGCTGTCCGCGACATACATACCCTCACAACATTATAGTGCGTGAAGCTCCCCCCCGCGTGGTCCCTGTGCGCGCGGACGGTGCCCTGCATCTCCCGCTCCACGATGGAGTACTCGCTGTCCGCGACATACATACCCTCACAACATTATAGTGCGTGAAGCTCCCCCCCGCGTGGTCCCTGTGCGCGCGGACGGTGCCCTGCATCTCCCGCTCCACGATGGAGTACTCGCTGTCCGCGCACTCTCCCTCCGCGCCCGGCGCCACCTCCACCAGCGTCGTGCCGCCGTACCACTCTGGGGATTTATAAATAATCGTCATTAACAGAGCTTAGAACTTAGTACTTAGATCTGCAGCGCAACGTGTTGCGATTCTTTCTTGAAGAACTGTGCCCGGTATATGGCAATAGGCTCACCCCCTATTACGTGGGACTCATCTATATATATATAATTCAAGGGTGATTGATTGACTGACTGACTGACTGACTGACATAGTGATCTATCAACGCACAGCCCAAACCGCTGGACAGATTGGGCTAAAATTTGGCATACAGATAGATGTTATGACGTAGGCATCCGCCAAGAAAGGATTTTGATAATTTCCACCCCCAAGGGGGTAAAAAAGGGGATGAAAGTTTGTATGAAACGTTGTCAGTTTTTAACCGATCGGGTTGAAATTTGGCATGCAGATAGATATTATGACGTAAGCATCCACTGTGAAAGGATTTTGATAATTTCCACCCCCAAGGGGGTAAAATAGGGGATGAAAGTTTGTATGAGACTTTGTCAGTTTTAAACCGATCGGGTTGAAATTTGGCATACAGATCGATGTTATGACGTAAGCATCCGCTTTGAAAGGATTTTGATAATTTCCACCCCCAAGGGGGTAAAATAGGGGATGAAAGTTTGTATGAGACTGTCAGTTTTAAATCGATCGGATTGAAATTTGACATGCAGATAGATGTTATCACATAGGCATCCGCTAAGAAAGGATTTTGATCATTCTCACCCCAAAGTGGGTAAAATAGGGGGTGAAAGTTTGTATGATACTTTGCCAGTTTTAAATTGATCGGGCTGAAACTTTGCATGCATAAAGTTACTATGACATAGGTATCTCTTTAGAAAGGATTTTGATAAATTCCACCCCTAAGGGGATAAAATAGGGAATGAGAGTTTGTATAAATCGTCTTAGCCATTGAATTTAGAATCATTGAATCTTTTTGAATTACATTCGGTGAACGATGATTTGGGACCTGGGTAACGTTTGATAGTTTCTATCACAGATGTCCCACGGGAACGGGAACTATGCGTCAATGCCCCAGGACTCTCTAACTCTTAACCACTGAACTTATTTTAGAGAGATTCGGTACAACAATAGTCGATAGAATAGTTTTTATTACTCAAACCTTACGTGATCGGGCACTGTACTGGTAAGATCCCTGCGGGATTATTTATTTATTGAAACTACTATAAATCATTTCAAAATAGGTAAATCTTACTTGGGCACTGAATTGATTCTGATTAATTCTGTCAGAAGTCATTAATCTACGCGGACGAAGTCGCGGGCAACAGCTAGTAACGTATAATAGTGAAAAGTGGGTGTTACATTGTACAGTGGCATTAAGTACCGTAATGTGCACCTCTGAGTATTAAAGTGGCGAGGGACTCACTGATGCAACATTTTAATATAAAAAACTATGATTTAGGATCTTTTTCTGGTATTTCGTCAGAACCTTTAGGCAATGCATCACGATCTATTGTAAGGACGTTGCAACAGTGATGACCCGCTGGTATTTGATACATTTCTAATTAATTTTTAGTTAATTTAAAATGTTTTATGTCGGAATACTGAAACTCTACTCAATTTTAAGTCGCGTTTAAGTATAGTTCTGTCACCACTAATTCTTTGTAAAATGACAGAGACGGCACGATATTTGAGCACGACTTAAAATTGAGTAACGTTTCAGTATTCCGGCATTAGATAGATAAGTTTGGGCTACGTGGGGCTGACGTAGCCTATTGATTAAAAATAAAATAGAGATAAAAAGTACAGAACCTTCGGGGATAAAAGGCGTAAAGTTATATTAAATTTTTATTTAAATCTCCATATATTTATTTAAACTTTCTCTAAAATTACATTTTTAAATACTACAGTATAAAAATAACATTTAAAAATATAAAAATAGGAGCCGACCAGTAGTGGGAGCATGGTCCAAGCTACCGGTGGTTAGGGCTCCAGAGACAGAAACCTCCTCACAATGCGCGCCGTTTCAAGGAGAACTGCCTTCTGTATCAGGCCCTTGACCCAACTGCCTAACGCTAGCCTCCTAAGGTGGTTGTCGAGGCTATTAGGGATTAACCCATTGGCCGACACGACTATCGGCACAATGATAGCCGAATCTACATTCCACATGTCGATAACCTCGTGAGCCAAATCAAGATATTTGATTTGTTTATCTTTTTCAGCTTTCACGAGGTTCTCATCATGAGGAATAGTGATATCGATTATCATCGTGCGGCGCACTTGTCGGTCTATCACCACTATATCAGGTTTGTTGGCTATAATAGTCCTGTCAGTGATGATAGACCGGTCCCAGTACAACGTGATATGGTCATTTTCCAGAACTGGGTCGGGCACATACTTGTAGTACGGTACCTCAAACTCAACAAGTCGATAGTGCAAAGCAAGTTGCTGATGGATAATCTTGGCTACTTGATTATGCCTATGCAAATATTCACTGTTAGCCAAACGACCACAACCAGAAATAATATGTCTAATGGATTCACCAGGACTATGACATGCCCGACATATGTCAACCGTCCCATCCTTAATTATATACTTCCGGTAGTTATTCGTAAGGATAACTTCGTCCATAATTGCACAGACAAATCCTTCAGTTTCTCCAAAGAGATTACTGAATCGTAGCCAAGATACGGACGCTAGAAAATCTACATTGGGCCCATGAAGGGCCCGGAAGAAGCGTCCGTGGAGCTCCTTGCTATGCCATACCTCCTTGCGATCATTGACGCTCAGTACCACAGGTTTGCGCCAGTTCTCTTTTGCCAAGGATAGCGGAGTGAATCCATTGTCCACCGCTGCTACTTCTCGATGCATACCCTCGTTGACTTTCAGGAAATATTCCCTGAGGCTGCACACCTCACGGTTGTGAAGGGTCTTAGCATTTAATAAGCCTCGACCACCACACTTCCGCGGGATGTACAACCTCATGACCGACGAACGAGGGTGATGCATGCGATTTGCAGTCAGCAGGGTCCGGACTCGTCTATCCAGGGTGTCAAGTTCAGTCTGTGTCCACTTGAGTATACCAAAAGAATACATTAGGACTGGCATGACCCAACCGTTAAAGGCTCGCACCTTGTTTCCGCCTGATAAGGAACTTTTTAGTACCTTATTCAGGCGGCCAAAGAAGCGCTCCTGTAGCGATTGCTTCATGTCCGGTCCATTAATGCCTAATCCTTCTGACATACCCAGGTACTTGTATGTATCGTTTGCGGAGAGTGATCTCAGTTTTGTGAAATCTGAGAGTTCTAGTCCCTCAGATTCCACAATCCCTCCTCGCTTTACATGCATGACCGCACACTTGTCTACTCCAAACTCCATTCTGATGGAACTACTAAATTTTTCAGTTATATTCAGTAGTTCCATCAGTTGTTTCTTGTTTGGAGCAAACAACTTGAGGTCATCCATGTAAAGTAAGTTGGATATAACTAGACCCTTCTCCGCAAAGGATAGCCTAGCCCTGAATCCTCCAGTAGAGTACTTAGAGGATTCAAGGCCAAGCAGAACCATAGTGGGCTCAGGCTGTCACCCTGGAATATTCCTCGTACTATCCTTACAGGTTCTTCATTCCCTTGGATTTGTCTACATCCCGGATAGCAAAGCACGGTGCTCCACTGCCTCATACATGACTCCAAGAAGGCGCGTAAACTTGCATGTATTTTATACAACTCCAGCACCTTCAGGAGCCATGTATGTGGCACAGAATCATATGCTTTTTTATAGTCTATCCAGCATGTAGACAAATCTTTTCGGGACCGACGAACCTGTTGGCTAACAACCATATCAATGAGGAGTAGCTCCTTAGTTCCACGAGACCCCTCCCTACATCCATTTTGAGATACCAACATGATGGAATTTTTTTAATATGTTTTGTTATTTTTGTCCTCAAAATGGATGTAAGAAGTTTATAGACCGTTGGTAGACATGTGATTGGTCTATTTTTTGGGCTCAGTGGAACTACCTGATTTATGGAGCAGGTGGGTAACTCCTGTTGTTAGAAATTGTGGTAACGACCCAGTTTCCAAAGCTGCCTGGAAGTGTAATGCTAAGCGAACGTGTGAACTTTTGAGCCATTTAATCCAGAAATTGTGCAGTCCGTCCGGCCCCGGTGATTTCCAATTCGGGACCGAACAGGCTGCACTGGCTACATCAGAGGAGGTGATTACTACCTCCTCCATCTCTGGTATAGTCTCACACCTTCGCTTAACATCAAACATCCAGTCACCTTCTGTGTGGCTGACAGGCACCGACCAGATGTTGCGCCAAAATGTGTTAGTGGCATCATCATCCGGTCGCCTCCCGTCAGCCACATCTTGGTTGGATCGTTCCCAATCTCTGTATACCCACCTCTGATCTCTTTGGAACATGCGATTCTGAGTATAGCGCTCCACTCTTTTTTTGTACCTTCTGATACGGTTTGCCCATGCATAAACTTTCTGCTTCAGGAAGTCGATGCGCTCTGTAACACGTGATAAGTATTCATGAGGACTGATTTCAGTCCCCACAAATGCACGTCTTACAAAGCGCATCACTCTAGGGCGAGTATTGCCCTCCCTGAAGCAGGATAGTTTGCCAATGAGTACCCTGGCCTCACTGATACGACGCTCTATCCTGCACTGCCAGGCAGGTACTGCTGGTTTTGGTCGGACTGCTGCGTCAAGATTTGGGAATCTGACGTTAGCCACTCGACAAGCAACTGCCCCACAGAACAAGATTGAGTGTGTATCATAGAGGTTTTCGCTACTCTCAAAATATTTTTTTTTAATTATTATTACTGGTACACTACTATCGACTCCTCAGTAACAAGGTAGACAATCCCACTACACTAGCACGAGTGGGGTTAATGGGAGTTCCTAAACGATATCTCGAGGCTGGTGATGGCACAGAGAGACCGCGTAGGCGGAGGAAATTATTTGCTAAGCCACCAGGCGTACTCACAAAGCGAGGTGCTGCAGCACCAACGGCAAGAGCGATGGGTCTCATGAACTCGATGATACCTCAGCGCCCAGAATTAAATGTGTTCCACGATAAGTCGTATGTCATACGGAAATTAATGTATAAGTTTTTAAATATAAATATCAATAATATAGGAATAGGAACTATCTAAGTGATTAATATTGTAATAGGTTTAAGTTTCTTTTTTGTATCCTAGAATGTAAGTATTTTGGCTCTTGCTGTAAACTTTCATCTTAATGTAAATAAATAAATAAATATCATGTTATGTTTTGCTAGTATACCTGAAGCCGCCTGCAAGCTATGCCGGGCAGCCTTGAGCAGTCGGTGCCTGTGTCCATACGCCGCCACTCCGACAGCTCGAAGGTCCTCGTGGGACATCTCAGACAATATGTCGACTGTTATCTGTTCGCGCTCTAGAACTTGCGTCAGCTGTTCTAGACCGATGCTGTGGGACAAAAAGTAATAACAAATTAATAAATGTTTATTTGCCATAATACGGTAGTTGACAACTAGTCAAATTCAATACTTTTATCGAAACGTCAAAAACGATACTGTTCTATGAATTTTGTACGAAATACTAGCTTATGACGTCATCATATTTTCGCGTCAAATAGCACACTTATATCTGAAGAAAATACAAGAATAAATCGAAAATTAAGTATATCGGCAAATCAATGAATGAAAGTGTAACTATTTTTCAATATTTAATTGGATTGAAAAATCAAAATAATTTATTTTTGACCCAGGAAACTACCCAATTAAACAGCAAATATTGGTGTTACATTGTTCTCACAAAATTTTTATTTCACTGTAAACTGACGTGAAGCAACGCTTGCTTTGTGTTTCGTCGTGTGAGTGAGGTTACCGGAGACCCAATTACCCTCCCCTTCCCCAATCTCCCCAATTCTTGAATCCCTAACAATCTTCAAATTCCTAATCCCCAAAAGGCCGGTAAGGCACTTGTAACGCCTCTGGTGTTCCAGGTGTCCATGGGTGACGCCGATTGCTTACCATCAGATGATCCGTCTGCTCGTTTACCGGCTTATCCAATAAAAAATAAAAAGGTACATTTTTCGAAAAAATACTTGAAACATTTTTTTTTTAATTACTTTTATTATAATACTAACCTAGACAGGAAGGTCTGTAGTGATTCAGACGTGGACAGAGCTGATGCTGGTCTACCGGCCGCGTCTTCTAAACTACCACGAGATCCTTCCGCCCAATAGTTTGAGGGTACCACCTGGAAGGAACGATATAGATTAATTGATTAAAATATACTTTTCGAGGACGCTCAACTGGTTTCAAGAGAAACTGGGACTCATAGGCTGTGTACATAGTTGACAAATGATGCGTGAAATTATCTGTCAGTTAGCCTAACAGACACTTACTAAATACAAGGTGTAGTTTTGAAACTGTGACATTTCTCGGGGACATGTCACAGAAGTCATAAAGGTTCAATGTAAGAGAAAGTTTCAGGCCAATAGTTAAAAATACGGCTATAATAAATCGTTTAAGTTCGACAGTATTTCAGAATAAGCGACAGCAATGTTTCTTATTGGAGTTTTATGGAATTAGGAATAATATCGAGTATACAACACCCGCGACGACAAAAAAGGTAACACTGTATGATCGTTTTTATTTATTACAATACTCATCGGCACACATATATCGACCAGATTGGCAATATATTAAAGAAGGGCCAAATTAAAAGTATCCTTAACCGACGAGCAAGCATGATAAGACTGCTTGAGAGGTACTTATGTAAGAATCGTAGCAATTGTATTCTATAGTCTCTGCTTACCCCCATGGGAGACAACTAAAACGAGAAACGTTATGTATGTACTTATTTATAATGTATGTACTCACCGGCAAAGCCAAAGGCACGGTATCCCCGCTAGGCATCAACACAGGTTGCTGTGGGGGAGGTAGGGGTGGTGGAAGGGGGGCGGGGGCTGCTACAGAACCGGCAGCTGACGTCATCGCGTCTTGAAGTAGCGACCTGACGTCTTCCGCGCCTGCTAGATCCAGGGCCGTTTGACCTTCCTGGTTCTTGAGGTAGGGATCTGCGCCGTGGGCGAGCTGGTGAGAAAAGAGCAATTTTAATATTACTAATTTTACAAATGCGAAAGTATGTAAGTGTGTGTGTATGTTTCTTACTCATCATCATCAACAGTCTAAAAGTGGCCACTACTGAGCAAAGCCTCTTCTCACACGGAGAAGGTTCGAGCATTAATCAACACGCTTTCTCATTGCGGGTTGGCGATTTCAAACTTATAATTACAAATGATAAGCCCAGGTTTCCTCACGATGTTTTCCTTCACCGTTCGTCAGTGGTGTCTAAATAATCTTAGAAAGTACATATAACTAGGGAAAAGTCACATTGGTACTTGCCGTTGGTAGGTTTCGAACCCGTACCCTCATGCATGAGAAGCGGGTGCCTTAACTCGTCGAGCACCGTATTTATAGACACAATTAAAGAACAACAGGTTGCGGTCACCGGTGACCGCTTGGTGTTTGACAGTTTAAATCAGTTTTAACCCTTTGAGTACCGTCATTATAGACACAATTAAAGAACAACAGGTTGCGGTCACCGGTGACCGCTTGGTGTTTGACAGTTTAACCTCCGGGGCCTACCCGGGAATCGAACCCGAGACCCTTTGCAAGGCAGTAGGACTTGCGACCAATGGACCAACGAGGTATGTTTAATGCAATTTTAGGAAACATAAAAAATATACTGAAAAATGACTGTCTCGTTGGCCGAGTGGTCGCAAGTGCGATTCCCGGGTCGGGCAAAGTACTACTGGCTATTTAAAAATTCTCAGTAGTAGCACGGAGTCTGGAATCGTGCCCGGTATATGGCAATAGGCTCACCTCCTATTACATGGGACTCATAACATAAACAGTGAAAAGTGGGTGTTACATTGTACAGTGGCATAATGTGCACCTCTGCCTACCCCTTCTGGGATGTTATGTTAGATACTTTTCAACACTTACCAATAAAGCACACAGCTGCGTCCTAGCCTTATGGGCGGCCTCATGCAGCGGTGTGAATCCCCACCTATCCGCGGCATTGGGGGGTGTACCGGCCCTCAACAACAAGGCTGCCAGTTCCACATGGCCGTAGGATGCAGCATTATGTAGGGGGACTAGACCACCTTTGTCTCGAGCTGATACTCCTGCACCTGCTTCTAGAAGAGCCTCGGCTACTTCCAGGTTATTGTAGCCAGCTGTGGAAGGAAAATCACACTTATCACTATCACTATACAGTATAAAACAAAGTCGCTATCCGCCGTCTGTCTGTCCCTATGTATGCTTAGATCTTTAAAACTACGCAACGGATTTTGATGCGGTTTTTAATAGATAGAGTGATTCTTAAGGAAGGTTTATACGTATAATACGTGCATATTGCACCCGTGCGAAGCCGGGGCGGGTCGCTAGTATTATATGTGTGAAAGTTTCTTTGTTTTTTTATGGGATAAGCCGGTAAACGAGCAGACGGATCAACTGATGGTAAGCAATCGGCGTCGCACATGGACACCCGGAACACCAGAGGCGTTACAAGTGCGTTACCGGCCTTTTGGGGATCGTTGGGAATTCAGGGTTGGGGTGATTGGGGAAGGGGGTGGGGGGTAATTGGGCTATTATTTGGATATTTGTTCGTCAATCACGCTGAAACTACTAGACTGATTTTAATGAAATTTGGTATACAGGCAGGGTATGGGATGACTTAGGTGATAGGACTTTTTATAATAACTATCGTAAGACATACTAAATTACTAAGAAAAGCTCTACTAGTTTCGACCAACAGAGGGGTACTTCCTCATAAACAGCGGTTCGAAACTGGTAGAGCTTTGCCGTTGACCGTTGAGAGGACTCGGATGACTTGGACATCTTTCACGATTCGCTTCACGTGTTTAGGAATAAAGTAGTTAAAACATTTAAGTAGTGTTAAATTGCTTGCTAATGTCGTGGTGGCCCGGAGGTTTAAGACGCCCACTTCTCAAGCATGAGGGTGCGGGTTCGAAACCTACCAACGGCAAGTACCAATGTGACTTTTTCCGAGTTATATGTACTTTCTAAGATTATTTAGACACCACTGACAAACGGTGAAGGAAAACGTCGTGAGGAAACCTGAACTTATAATTTCTAATTATAAGTTTGAAATCGCCAACCCGCATTGAGCAAGCGTGGTGATTAATGCTCTAACCTTCTCCGTGTGAGAAGAAGCTTTGCTCAGCAGTGGGCATTTATAGGCTGTTGATGAAATTGCTTTTAATTATTATTGTTATTTTATTTGCTTTGATTTTTTGTCTTCATTAATATAATTGTACATGGAATTTATGATCCAGTGAGTGTTGTTTACATCTGTCACTGGTATGCATATCAGAATTTTTAATTTTGTATTCAACTATGTTATGGCTAGTGTATAATATGTATACTGTTGATGTGCCTTTAATAAATAAATAAATAAAATAAATAAAGCTTTTCTCAGTATATTCACGTGAGTACCCCGCGATATTTAGTTAATTTCTCTAGTTACATATTTTTATTATTACTGTTTTCGGCATAACATTCCTACGCGGTAAAATACTCACCGGCTAGATGTAGAGGCGTAGAATTCCGTCCGTGTGTGTCTCGACAGTTCACGTTTTGTGGCGTTATTAGTTTCCTGTAACAAACAATGTCTAGATAAATACAAGGTGTAGTTTTGAAGCCGTGGCATTTCTCGGGGGCATGTCACAGAAGTCATAAAGGTTCAATGTAAGAGAAAGTTTCGGGCCAATAGTTAAAAATACGGCTATAATAAATCGTTTAAGTTCGACAGTATTTCAGAATAAGCGACAGCAATGTTTCTTATTGGAGTTTTATGGAATTAGGAATGATATCAATTACGTGTTTGAGTTTGTTTGTGTTAAGCCGCGTTATAAAGCTAGTTACAAGACGGCGGCGTGTAGTTCGCACTTACGGATTTCCGTAAATTCAGAAAAAATGAATAATATTTACCTACAATTTTTTTTTATTGATTCGGACTCGGAATCGATAGCCGAGTTACCTCCTAGAAAATGACGCGGCTTTAAAACAACACCTTGTATAAATGCTATAATAGTACAAGTTACTGCCTCATTGGCCGAGTGGTCGCAATTGCGACTATTAGGCAAGGGGTCTCCGGTTCGATTCCCGGGTCGGGCAAAGTATTACTGGGTTTAAAAAATATCAGTAGTAGTACGGAGTCTGGATGTGTGCCCGGTATATGGCAATAGGCTCACCTCCTTGTATCATCGTGGTAATCAGTTGCCTCCATGTTTTTTGACCAAATTTAATTATAAATTTCTCACCTGACTTCCTGATTTGTTGTGACAATTAATTTATTGACTTTTTAGTATATTACAATTTGACTACATTATCTGATACATAATTTCTTCTTAATGACATCTTAATTTTATTGACATTTCTAATTTATTTTCTGACTTTACCTGTTTTAATTTATTTGAATTGTTTCCAATAATAATAATACTAATTATTATTATTGATAACCTGGCAACACTACAAACGTCAACTTGTGAAAATTTTACTCTGTTTTTATATAAATAATTTATATATATTCCATTCTGTTTTCGTTTCTTCTAATATTTATCAACAATAGAAAAACCTTTTTGTTTTATAATAATACGCCATAATTTTACAATACTGCAAACTAAGAAGAAAATATTAAAAATGAAAATGACAATGACAGAATCAATAACTTCAAAAATGAATATACTAAAGCAAAACGATTAACAATGTTGACGAGAGCCAGAAGCAAACAAGGCGCACCCCCACCACCTCCGGACTCGTCGCTCAGCTCCGCCTCGCCATCGCCGGAACCCCGCTCCGCTGGAACGCCGGTGACTGCAGTTGCGTCGAGCTCGAGCGACGACTATTTCTCCCCACCTACGTCGCCACCACCTGTACGTCGGCCGGGGAGAGGCCGGCCACCGACTGGCTTGGGAACCAGGGGCCATCAGGCCCTGGGACGGGTCCCCGCTACCGGTGGTTGTGTGCGGCGCATGAAATGGACTCAAAGTATAAACGAGAACGTCATGCGCGCATACTACGGTGCTACAGAGGGAGGAACTAACCTCACGGCGTACCGTGAAAGGATGCTGTCTATGTTTCAGGTGCTTGAACCATCTGTCAACGTCTCGGCCCAACGACTCTCGGATCAAGTGCGGGTCATCCAACGTAATTGCAGATTGGATGAGACTACGCTTGATCGGCTACGCCTTGAAGCACTGCGCAACCGTGTCGTCCCCGCACCACCACAATTGGTGGCACAGACACCTGTAGTGTCACAATGTGTGACATCGACCACTCCTATCGTTGGAGTGGAGGACGACAGGGTTGAACAAGTGAGTACTCAGTGCAATGAACGTCTGAGGAGTGCTTTGGAGGATGCGGTTCGTGAGTACAGACTTGCTCCTAGTAATTTAAGACCAAAGTTACCACGTTTGCCCATGTGTAGAAAAAATAGGGCGCTGGTGAGCGCCTTGGATTCGCTACTTAAAAAATATTTTGAGAGTAGCGAAAACCTCTATGATACACACTCAATCTTGTACTGTGGGGCAGTTGCTGCTTGTCGAGTGGCTAACGTCAGATTCCCAAATCTTGACGCAGCAGTCCGACCAAAACCAGCAGTACCTGCCTGGCAGTGCAGGATAGAGCGTCGTATCAGTGAGGCCAGGGTACTCATTGGCAAACTATCCTGCTTCAGGGAGGGCAATACTCGCCCTAGAGTGATGCGCTTTGTAAGACGTGCATTTGTGGGGACTGAAATCAGTCCTCATGAATACTTATCACGTGTTACAGAACGCATCGACTTCCTGAAGCAGAAAGTTTATGCATGGGCAAACCGTATCAGAAGGTACAAAAAAAGAGTGGAGCGCTATACTCAGAATCGCATGTTCCAAAGAGATCAGAGGTGGGTATACAGAGATTGGGAACGATCCAACCAAGATGTGGCTGACGGGAGGCGACCGGATGATGATGCCACTAACACATTTTGGCGCAACATCTGGTCGGTGCCTGTCAGCCACACAGAAGGTGACTGGATGTTTGATGTTAAGCGAAGGTGTGAGACTATACCAGAGATGGAGGAGGTAGTAATCACCTCCTCTGATGTAGCCAGTGCAGCCTGTTCGGTCCCGAATTGGAAATCACCGGGGCCGGACGGACTGCACAATTTCTGGATTAAATGGCTCAAGAGTTCACACGTTCGCTTAGCATTACACTTCCAGGCAGCTTTGGAAACTGGGTCGTTACCACAATTTCTAACAACAGGAGTTACCCACTTGCTCCATAAATCAGGTAGTTCCACTGAGCCCAAAAATTATAGACCAATCACATGTCTACCAACGGTCTATAAACTTCTTACATCCATTTTGAGGACAAAAATAACAAAACATATTAAAAAAATTCCATCATGTCGGTATCTCAAAATGGATGTAGGGAGGGGTCTCGTGGAACTAAGGAGCTACTCCTCATTGATATGGTTGTTAGCCAACAGGTTCGTCGGTCCCGAAAAGATTTGTCTACATGCTGGATAGACTATAAAAAAGCATATGATTCTGTGCCACATACATGGCTCCTGAAGGTGCTGGAGTTGTATAAAATACATGCAAGTTTACGCGCCTTCTTGGAGTCATGTATGAGGCAGTGGAGCACCGTGCTTTGCTATCCGGGATGTAGACAAATCCAAGGGAATGAAGAACCTGTAAGGATAGTACGAGGAATATTCCAGGGTGACAGCCTGAGCCCACTATGGTTCTGCTTGGCCTTGAATCCTCTAAGTACTCTACTGGAGGATTCAGGGCTAGGCTATCCTTTGCGGAGAAGGGGTCTAGTTATATCCCACTTACTTTACATGGATGACCTCAAGTTGTTTGCTCCAAACAAGAAACAACTGATGGAACTACTGAATATAACTGAAAAATTTAGTAGTTCCATCAGAATGGAGTTTGGAGTAGACAAGTGTGCGGTCATGCATGTAAAGCGAGGAGGGATTGTGGAATCTGAGGGACTAGAACTCTCAGATTTCACAAAACTGAGATCACTCTCCGCAAACGATACATACAAGTACCTGGGTATGTCAGAAGGATTAGGCATTAATGGACCGGACATGAAGCAATCGCTACAGGAGCGCTTCTTTGGCCGCCTGAATAAGGTACTAAAAAGTTCCTTATCAGGCGGAAACAAGGTGCGAGCCTTTAACGGTTGGGTCATGCCAGTCCTAATGTATTCTTTTGGTATACTCAAGTGGACACAGACTGAACTTGACACCCTGGATAGACGAGTCCGGACCCTGCTGACTGCAAATCGCATGCATCACCCTCGTTCGTCGGTCATGAGGTTGTACATCCCGCGGAAGTGTGGTGGTCGAGGCTATTAAATGCTAAACCCTTCACAACCGTGAGGTGTGCAGCCTCAGGGAATATTTCCTGAAAGTCAACGAGGGTATGCATCGAGAAGTAGCAGCGGTGGACAATGGATTCACTCCGCTATCCTTGGCAAAAGAGAACTGGCGCAAACCTGTGGTACTGAGCGTCAATGATCGCAAGGAGGTATGGCATAGCAAGGAGCTCCACGGACGCTTCTTCCGGGCCCTTCATGGGCCCAGTGTAGATTTTCTAGCGTCCGTATCTTGGCTACGATTCAGTAATCTCTTTGGAGAAACTGAAGGATTTGTCTGTGCAATTATGGACGAAGTTATCCTTACGAATAACTACCGGAAATATATAATTAAGGATGGGACGGTTGACATATGTCGGGCATGTCATAGTCCTGGTGAATATTAGACATATTATTTCTGGTTGTGGTCGTTTGGCTAACAGTGAATATTTGCATAGGCATAATCAAGTAGCCAAGATTATCCATCAGCAACTTGCTTTGCACTATCGACTTGTTGAGTCTGAGGTACCGTACTACAAGTATGTGCCCGACCCAGTTCTGGAAAATGACCATATCACGTTGTACTGGGACCGGTCTATCATTACTGACAGGACTATTGTAGCCAATAAACCTGACATAGTAGTGATAGACCGTCAAGTACGCCGCACGATGATAATCGATGTCACCATTCCCCATGACGAGAACCTCGTGAAAGCTGAGAAAGATAAACAAATAAAATATCTAGACTTAGCTCACGAGGTTGTCGACATGTGGAGTGTGGATTCGGCTATCATTGTGCCGATAGTCGTGTCGGCCAATGGGTTAATCCCTAAAAGCCTCGACATCCATCTCAGGAGGCTGGCGTTAGGTGGATGGATCAAGGGCCTGATACAGAAGGCAGTTCTCCTAGAAACGGCACGTATCGTGAGGAGGTTTCTGTCTCTGGAGCCCTAACCACCGGTAGCTTGGACCATGCTCCCGCTACTGGTCGGGTCCTATTTTTTATATTTTTAAATATTATTTTTTTAATTTTGTAAGTAGTATTTAGAAATATAATTTATAGAGAATTTTAAATAAATATATGTAAATACTAATTATAATATAATTGTTCTTTAATTAGACATAAATTAATACGGGGTCAAATTGCCCGTTTTCCTAGCGGGGTCAAACCGTCCCTGTCCTATCTGGATCAAACCGCCCCGTTTCTAGTGGGGTCCAAACTTATGTTTCTAGTGGGGTCCAAACTTATGTTTCTAGTGGGGTCAAAACGTATGTTTCTAGTGGGGTCAAAACTTATGTTTCTAGTGGGGTCTACAATACCTGGCTCTAGCAAGATCCCCTCGTTTGGCAGCGTCCAGTAAGGCAGCGTCACCTCTCAATGCGTCGGCAGTGTCACTGTCCCCGGCTCGTACCAGTTGTAGTGGGGTCAAACCGTCGCGGTTTCTACGCGTCGGGTCTGCGCCGTGCTGTAATATAAAATGTTTGGTGTTTTTGTGAAAAATGGCATAATATGTTAATTATATTCTTGAAAACGTTGTGATTGAGCTTCAACGACATTGTTCAATTAATGTCATGCCATGACAGGGGTTCGTAATGTGTGAGTGAGGTTACCGCAGGCCCATTTACAACTCTTGGGGAGGGATCTCCCTAATGCCAGAATCCCCAATAATTTATAAATTCCTAATTCCCAAAAGGCCGCACGCACTCGAAACTCCTCTGATGTTGCGGGCGTCCATGGACGACGCCGTTTGCTTACCATCAGGTGATCCGTCTAATCATTTCTCGGCTTAACACATAAAAATAACATAAAAATTCCCCGACAAATATATATTATACATACCTTCAACAATAACCGTACAATATCAGCCTTCCCCTTAGCAGCCGCTTCATGTAAGGGCGTGAATCTCCAAAGGTCGGCCGCGTTGACTCCAGCGCCGGCCGACACTAGGAGCTCCGTCAGCTCGTAGTGACCGTACGAACACGCGTTGTGGAGGGGGACTAGTCCTCTGGAGGGGGTGAAAAGGTGCTTAATTAAATTTAAAATGGATTGAAATATATGACTACTTATACGGACAGAAAGACAGACAGACATTTACTTTCGCATTTCGTCACGAGAGTCACTTAAGGGGCCAGTAGAATACCAGCGCGAGCCAGGGCGTCTTGCACATGCTGAACTGGTCCCATTTCACCACAGACTTGGGACATTAGTAGGTATTTATAAACGTAGATTTTTGATGCCGCAGAGAAGGAAGGTAGGGTAGTAGGTAGCTAGGTATATTAACCAGCTGTTGCCCGCGACTTCGTCCGCGTAAAATATGAATTTAAAGACATAACTTTTTTTTTAATCAATTTTCCAAATTAGAAGTCACTCCTTAGTACATCAGCTACCTGCCAATAAAAGTCCCGTCAAAATCGGTCCAGCCCTTCCAGAGATTAGCCAGCACAAACAAACAGACAGACAAAATAAATTAAATTCTGCTTACCCCTTATCTTTAGCATGAACATCGGCACCTCTTTGTAATAATAACTGAGCTAAAGGAAGACGGTTGTACCTGGAACAAACACAACAATATTATTATTGGCTATGTACACGACGGTTTTTTTTAAGGGGGGAAAATCATCGAATGACTGCTCCCGCCTGGGTGAGGCGGGAGGGAGTGTCAGACTCTTACTGACTAAAAACCACCCCGTTCCTTCTCCTGCACGTCGAGCCGGAGCCCCGGTTACCCGTTAGGTTCTCTCAATAAGGTTGTACACGACGGTGGCGACGCGCAGCCTTTACAACATTTGTGGAAGCTGTCAAATAATAACAATGTAAACATTTATAATTTTCTTTGCGAATATAAATAAAACCAAAAATTAAAATAGTATTGTTGACATTATTTAAGTGCAATTTATTCAATAGTTTTACTGTAAAATGAGTATAATAATAAAACTGGGTTTGAAACTATTACACATAATATTAGTTTCCAACAACAAACTGAGACAAAAGGCAATAAATTAGTATTAGCCGAGCATGTAAGAAATGTGGAAGAACTGCGACATAGCGGCCAGAGCCACATAATACGAGCCATGGTCCATTTCTTTGCTTTGATTTTGTACTGCAATCAACACATTTGACAGCTGATCATCCGCATTTGTTTCCAATGGGGATGATGACAGGGTATGAAAATTAAAAATCTAATTAGTCCGTAAGTTAGGTAATTAAAAAATATAGGACACGTATTTTTTTATTTTGTCGTATAATAAAACAATACTTAGATAAAACGAATCAAAGTTTAGGAGTGGGGGCTAAAACGTCATTTCTCAGTATAAAATGTACTGAGAAGTGACGTCACGCGACATTTCAAATCAATATATCTTCGAAACTATTCGTTTCCGTAAGAAAATAAAAAATACGTGTCTAATGTTTTTAAATAATCTACCAGACGGACATTAAAATAAAAATTAGTCGTCTACCCCATTTCTGCCGTGTTATGCGCTGCGGTCGTTATCTGTCCGCCACTACTCGCTTTGCACATAGCCAATAGGATTACCTCGTTGGCCGAGTGGTCGCAAGTGCGACTGCCGGCCAAGGGGTCGTTTTCCGGAACTGGCAAAGTACTACTGAGTTTATAAAAAAAAAATTCTGAGTAGTACCACGGAATCTGGAAATGTGCCCGGTGTATGGCAATAAACTCACCCCCTATTACGTGGGACTCATAACATAAATAGTGCAAAGTGGGTGTTACATTGTACAGTGGCAGTAAGTGCCGTAATGTTATTCGGGGATAAAAAGGTGTGCAGCAAAAAAGGCCGCAATGTTCAGCGTTTCGGGAGTATTTCGTCTACACCCAATATGATGATGATGCTGAAGACTCACCCTGCTGCGAAGTGTAGAGGAGTGGAGTGTCTCCCATCCACGTCCCTGCAGTTGACGAGCCGGGGCCTGGCGTCCAGGATGGTGCGAGCGTTCTCCACGTCTCCTGTACGAGCTGCTTCCAACAGGCGCAGAGCCGCTGCGTTTGCGCATGCATCTGTAGGAGAAAAAAAAGGGGCGTGGTTAACATGTTTTAGATAAAAAAAAAACATTGCCCCACACTAGGATTTTCTCCTGTGTCGTGGGTGCGTTTACAAACATACAACTCCACATACACATCACACACAGACGCGGACCAACAATCTGTGGATCACACTAAGAATTGTACCGTGCGAGAATCGAACCCGCGACACGTTGCGCGGCAGTGCACAGCCACCGCGCCAACTGTGCAGTCAAAGTTTGTTAAAATGTTTGTTTCTTGCTTCTCAAACGTAAGGATGCGACGAAAATGTAATTTGTTAAGTTTTTTTTGTATAGGATAAGCCGATAAACGAGCAGACGGATCACCTGATGGTAAGCAATCGGCGTCGCCCATGGACACCTGGAACACCAGAGGCGTTACAAGTGCGTTACCGGCCTTTTCGGGATTAGGAATTTGAGGATTGTTGAAGATTCAGGGATTAAGGAGATTGGGGAAGGGGGCGTGGGGGCGGGGGATTAAGAAAATTGGGGAAGGGGGGGCGGGGTAATTGGACCTTCGGTCACCTCACTCACGCGACAAAACAACGAAAGCGTTACAAGCGCGTTACAGTCCTATAAAAAATTGAGAATTTGAGGATTGTGGGGGACATTACCATCTGGCTGCGGATACATGGCATCAGCAGTGGTGTCAGCTCCGCACGCCAGTAGTAGTCTGCAGGCGGCGGCGGAGTCTCGTCGAGCTGCTACTGCCAGGGCGCTGGAGCCTCGGCCGTCGCAAGCGTTTACTTTTGCACCTGTAAAAGGATTTTAAGATAGTAACATTTGGTCAAGGTCAAGATCTATATCAATACCAAATGTCAAAGTTAAGATGAAAGTCAAAAGTCAAGACAAAATTAAAGTCAAAGATGATCTAGTTCTGAGTAGACTGCCTCGTTGGCCGAGTGGTCGTAAGTGCGACTGCCGGGCAAGGGGTCTCGGGTTCGATTCCCACGTCGGGCAAAGTATTACTGGGTTTTTAAATATTCTCAGTAGTAGCACGGAGTCTGGAATTGTGCCCGGTATATGTCAATAGGCTCACCCCCTATTACATGGGACTCATAACATGAATAGTGAAAAGTGGGTGTTACATTGTACAGTGGCATAATGTGCACCTCTGCCTACCCCTTCGGGGATAAAAAGGCGTGATGTTATGTTATTTATGTTATGATCTAGTTCAAAACCTAATTGGTTTAAGAAAATCATTGATACAAACATTTAACCGAGCCTTAATGATCAACTCAAGATGAATACTCATAACATGATACTGAATCAGGTAATATCAACTAACACATTCATCAATTTGAGCAATCTGGGCAACCGGCTGCCGTGTAACGTGTCGCTGGTTCGATTCCCGTACGGAACAACACATTGTTTTTCCGGGTCTGGGTGGCATGGGTATGAACATTATGAACTTATATGTTTGTAAACCACGACACAGGAGAAAATCCTAGTGTGGGGCAACGTTTTTTAAAAAGAAAAAATTCAGAATCAAAATCAAAATTAACATCGCCTTAAGAGATCTACAGCATCTAAATACGCGTTTTCAGTGGCAAAGTGTAAAGGAGTTTTGACTATTGTAGGGACACATGTAAGTATGTATGGCAGAGTGCAAGGCAAGCAAAAACTTGTGTGAGCGTGAAGTATGCGAGGCACGAACAGTTACTGCGGACTGGTCCGAGTGAACGGTTATATCTGGGGGTTTACGTGAATATATTCGGTATCTGAGCACCGTTGTTTCTCTCAACCCCCTGCACCCCACGACCACGAACACGGCAGTGCTCAATTAGGGATCCTCCTAACTACGATCCCTAAACTATCTTTGTTCTTCACAACCAACATGAGCTTCAAAATGGAAGTCAAAGTCAAGATCAACATAGTCAAAGTCAAAATCAAGTCAAATGAAAGTCAAGGTCATTTATGTATTTTATGATTAACTTACAATGCCTTAACAAGAGATACGTGGTCTCTAAATGAGCGTGTTTAATTCTTTGTTCTTCTCAATCAACATCAATACCAAAGTCAAAGTCAAGATCAATTTGAAAATAATATTTATTTCTGTATTTTATTATTAACTCACCATGCCGTAGTAATAGATCCATGGCATCTAAGTGTGCATGTTCGGTGGCGACGTGTAAAGGAGTCTGACCGTCCTTGTTCTTCTCGTTCACTCGGGCACCCTTCCTGATTAGCATCTCCATTACCTAGAGACGAAATATTAATTTATTAACCTCTCCTACATTCTAAGGAACTCTAAGCTAAGATAGGAGACACTTAACGATACTTTAGTTTTCACAAACGTATATGTGACACCTAATAGTTCCCGGCACAGCTCCAACCCAGCAACTAAGTTGTCATTTAAATATGAACTTTAAATCGTATACAGTATGATATATTTCATAAAGTCTGCACACCGCCAGCGAACCGACAACGCGCCGACAGCGAGACGACGTCGTGCCGCCCGCCAGTAGCGAGCGAAACAGCGTCGCATCGTAGGTAGGTTATTGTTAACTATACTCATGGTGACAAAAATCTTCTACCACGCGGGCGACACGCCGTAAGCGCGCTGGCGGCCGCGGTAGGTTTGTTGTATTGTTCATATTTTGTAATCATTTGTTGTTGTTGTTATTTTTACCGTTATTAATGTAGTTGTGTCACATAAATTTTGTCGTTACGAGATCAGTCTTTTAGCAATAATTTTAATTGTAATTCGATTTAAGAAATGTGGTTTTTTTTCTTTCTCTTTTTGTACTACTGGTGTTATTAGTTTTAAGCTTTGATTCACACACAATGTAAATTGTTTTTGAAATAAATAAATTGAAATTGAACTGAAAATTGAAAATACCTTTTTAAGTTTATTTTACTATTTTCTACATAACATAACATCACGCCTTTTATCCCCGAAGGGGTAGGCAGAGGTGCACACAGAAGTATAACACACAATTTTCATTATTTATGTTATGAGTTCCATGTAATAGGGGGTGAGCCCCTTGCCCGGTGACTACCCTGCTGCGAGTGCGACTGCATTTGCGACAAAAGACAAAAGTGCGTTCAAAAGTGCCATCCTGGTCTAATTGAACCATTTTGACCACTCGGCCAACGAGGCAGTCAACTTTTTACTATTTATAATATAAAATAATAATAATATAATATAAAATAATATACTATGCCGGAGCCGTACTTAGGCGTGCGATGACCTTAAGGGGTTAGCTTAGGTGTTCACAAAGAGATTGCTTAGGAGTAGTGTAACAACCATTTACCATAATAATAAACACATGCACTTGCGACATCTATACGGCCTACCGCGCGCTAACATAAACAGTAGTTCCGATATTCACTGATAGATGGAACTGTAGCGTGACGTCAAAAAATTAGATGGCGGTGTTAAGATTCTCCGTGAGTTAATGACCCTCCGGCGTGTTCATCGATTAATGTACGACTGACCTAAAGTTGCATTTTGGAATCACGTCCTACTTGGAATGATTACCAGAAACCTCTTTAGTTAAGTTCATTAAACAACGACTTCGGTTATTTTTTTTTAATACTAAAATAGGTCCGCCCTTCGTCCTCTCGGGAAAAGGTGTCTACGGACCTGTCATACTGTATATATATATATATATAATAAAAAAACTGTCGTAAACAGTGTTTGTTTACTTTGTCGGCCGGAAAAAGTAAACCCCAACTTCCTACTCTACAAGCTGGCGACCAACGGTGGGCCCGACCACAAGTACGCAAACACCACGCGTTCAAGGAGATTAGCGACAGCAGCTTTAAAGAAATTACCTGACGAAATGTCGATAAATCTATCCGAAACCCAATTCAAGACCTTGTTGGAAAAAATTTCTCCATCCAGACAAGGATCCTTTACCTCCTGTACTTCATACTACGACGGGACCAAGGACACAGAACTTCTGGAAGCATTCTTGGCTGCAGTTACTATTTTCAAACGCATTGAAAACATCGGTGATGAAGAGGCCCTTACTAGTATCCCGCTACTACTAAAAGGGGAAGCAGCCATATGGTGGCAAGGCGTGAAGAAGCACGTTTCTACATGGGAGTCGTTTAAGGATCGCCTGCGCCATAACTTTGCACCCAAGAAACCAGCGTTTGTACTTTATCAAGAGATAGTTGGCGTAAAACAAACAAATAATACATCCACAGAAAATTTTGTGGCGTACAAGAGAATGCTAATCTCTCAGCTTCCAGCACCTGAACCTCCAGAATCTCATCAGCTGGACATGATTTATGGATCACTGAGGACCAAAATACAGGATAAGATTCCCCGAAATTCCTTCACCACCTTTGACGAACTATTAAACATTTCACGAGCCATTGAACAACTATGGAATGAACATACTAAAGAAGCTAAACTTCTTACGCAACAGCCAACAAAACCATTCCAGCCAAAAAAGAAATGTGGTTTCTGTCATTTCAGTGGGCACAGCACTGATGAGTGCAGGAAGCTTAAGAAGAAGCAAGAGGAATATGGTATCAAGGTTGAAGCCCCTGAAGCTCCTGTACGTTCCAAGCTGGAGAAATCCAGGGCAACACAAATGCCATCGCCTTCTTCTTCAATACATTGTTACGGATGCGGCGCACCAGGCGTAGTTCGAAGCAGTTGTACCACGTGTGCTGGTATAAAGCAAAAGGCACCACCAGCGGACATAAACTTTTGCTCCTTCAACTTCAAATCGGATGTGAGAGCCAGACCAATGGTGTATGTGGACATTGAAGGCATAAAAGGAGTCGCGTATATAGACACTTGCGCCAAAACAAGTGTGGCCTCATATATACTATATAAAAAACTTGAGGCAAAGGGACAGAGGTTTATAAGCGAGAAAGCCCGTATCACCCTAGCAGATGGAATGCCGAGGGAACAAAAGGTACTAAAAACTGTGGTACCAGTGAAACTAGAAGGGAAGACAATTCCAACTACATTTATAGTTTTGCCTGAGTCCAGAGACAACCGCACACTACTGGGAGTAGGATTCATCCAGGATGCGAGGATGGTGCTGGATCTGGCTCAATATACATGGAATTTCCTGGGCAGGCAGTCATCAGATATACGAGCTGTACCAGGAGGATTTTGTATCCTTTGACCACACCAACACATTGGAAAATGTGGGATATCTGCATGAACATTCCTCCCGACCTCTGGGGTCTGTGCAAAGGGTAGTAGTACCAAAACAAAGGGACGCCCAGGTCTACAAGCTTACGCCCCTGGATTTGGCCTCAACAACAAAACCCACTACGATTTTCGATGGATACTCGCCTCAATTCGCGGACTTCATCATGAACGATGCAGAGCGTAACGTCCGAGAAGCGGAAATCACCCTTACAGAAGAAGAGAGAGCTCTTTTCCTAGTCCAGAAAAACATGATATGAGCTTGGACACTTCGCTCGAATTCCTTGATCTGTGTAGCTTAGACATTGTTAATCAACATAACATTAAACTTAATAAATTACTAACAGAGTACGAGGATGTTTTCATAGATAACGGCAAACCCTCATTGCTCGGAGAGCATTGTATTGTAACCAGCATTGATATCCCTATATCGGTGCCCCCTTACAGACTGTCTCAAACAAAAACAGACATTCTCAAAGCCGAAGTGGATAAAATGATAAAGAATGGGATTATTGTACCATGTACCTCACCATGGGCTTCACCTGTAGTAATGGTGCCAAAACCTAATGGAGATGTGCGAGTTTGTGTTGATTATCGCCGTTTGAATGCAATAACGGTGCCAGATACTTACCCCATCCCTCGAATAGATGATCTGCTGCATTCAGCTAAGCCAACCCCATACATGACGTCTCTGGATCTCAAAGCAGGCTATTGGCAAATTAAACTTCGAGAGGAAGATGAAGAGAAAACAGCCTTCATTACGCCTTTCGGCGTTTACAAATTCAAGAGGATGCCATTTGGATTGCGAAACGCACCTGCTACATTTCAACGCATAGTGGATAGATTTCGAGTTACCCTGGGTGATGTGAAATTGCTGGCTTATTTGGATGATATTATCGTATTTTCTACCACTTTTGATGATCACATTTCTGATTTGAGAAGAATATTACAGAAAATGAGAGAATGTAACTTAACAGCGAACAAAGAAAAATGCAAGTTCCTGCGTTCTTCAATAAAATATTTAGGGCATATCATAACGCCCGACGGTTTGAAAACGGATCCAGATAAAACCAAGGCTATCCTGGATAGGCCAACCCCTAAAAACCTTAAACAACTAATATCATTTCTGCAAATGTGTTCCTGGTATCGCCGATTTATCGAAAACTTTTCATCGATAGCTCAACCGCTTACTAAGCTTACGAAAAAGGGTGCCACCTGGGTATGGGGTACCGAACAAGAACTTGCTTACAACAAGTTGAAGCAACGTTTGACAACTGCACCTGTACTTAGACAAGCTGATGGAACCGAGCCATACATTTTAAAAACAGATGCCAGTGCATACGCTCTCGGAGCAGTTCTCGTCCAGGGGGAGAAGGAAAATGAACATCCTGTAGAATACGCGAGTAGATTACTTACCGCAGCTGAGAGGAATTATTCCACAACCGAACGAGAAGCGCTAGCAGTAGTCTGGGCTCTAAACAAATTCCGAGCATATATAGAGGGCTCACCTATTACTGTGGTCACAGACCATCAAGCCTTGAAATGGCTGATGAACCTAAAATCACCCACTGGTCGTTTGGCTAGGTGGGCTTTGCAACTACAGGCATTCGACTTAAAGGTTATATATCAGCCTGGTAAAATGAATACGGTGGCTTGATGCGTTGTCTAGACCTCCATGTTGCGAGGAAACCTGCGATATTTGTACAATAACCATAGACATGCCAAAGAGGAGTCCTAAAGAAATTCGAGAAGAACAAATGAAAGATGAAAAGCTTAAGAAAATTATAGAAGCTCTTGAGGAAACACATTCCGTTGAGGATGCTACCTATTGGAGCAACAAGGGTTATTTATTAAATAATGGGATGCTATATCGCCTACACCCAGATTCTGAGGTAGATGACGCTCAACTCTTGGTACCTGAACATGAGTGGAGAAATGTGCTTAGTGCATACCACGATGACCCCCTAGCTGGTCACTACGGTGCTGAGAAGACATACAAAAAGATTGTTCAAAGGTACTACTGGAATGGTATGCGAAAATACGTGACAAGTTACATACAAAATTGTTTGGAGTGCCAAAGATACAAACCCTCAAACCAGAAACCTGCTGGTTTGCTTCAGACCACATCATTGAGACAAAGATTCGAAGTTGTGTCCTTTGATCTGTTTGGACCTCTTCCGCAAACTGAAGAGGGGGAGACATGGATTCTTATTGTTGAAGATATCGCGACGCGCTGGGTTGAATTGTTTGCCCTGGCCACCGCTTCCGCAGAAAATTGCGCTACCACCCTAATCAACGAAGTCTTCCTAAGATATGGCGTACCAAGAAGACTGATTAGTGACAATGGAACACAGTTCGTAAGCGCTGTAATGCAACAAGTAGTGTACTGTTTAAACATAAAGCATCAGTACACTCCGCTTTATCATCCTGAAACAAATCCTGTGGAACGTCGAAACAGAGATTTAAAAACCCAACTGGCTATGATGATTCAAGGGAAGGAGCATAGTCGATGGGCAGATCTTCTTCCTACCATTCGATTTGCTATGAATACCTCAAACTGCTCTTCGACAGGACAAACTCCTGCATACCTTACCTTTGGCAGAGAGTTGAGATCCCCAAGAGACAACGAAATTGATTTCAGAAACATACTTATCTCCGAAAATTTCATACCTGAAATCACTCCAAAGCTGAGGGCACTGGCCGATAACCTCGTGAAAGCCAGAGAAGTACAAGAATTGAAAGAAGAAGCTCGTAAGGAATACGTTGACCGCCATAGACGCCCTCACCCCAAGTACAAATCGGGAGATCTGGTATTCGTCAACATACATCCAATCAGCAGAAGCAATCAGGGTGTGACAGCCAAGTTCGCGCCCGAAGAGATGGCCCCTATGTTATAGTGCAGCAACACGGTCCGGCGTCCTTTAAAATAGCTTCGCCTCACACTCCTACCGTACCAATCGGTGTATATCATACATCGGCTCTGACGCCCTACAAAGGAGAAGACGCCACAATCGTCCCTGAACCAGTACATCCACTACGTGGAAGAGGACGACCTGCTAAGAAGGTGGCTATTCAATCCACTCCACCTACTAAGAAAAGAGGACGTGGTCGTCCTAAGAAGACATAGAACTCCAGTTCCAATCGCCGAGACGTCTTCAGGAACTGAGGGGGAGATTGTAACAACCATTTACCAATAATAATAAACACATGCACTTGCGACATCTATACGGCCTACCGCGCGCTAACATAAACAGTAGTTCCGATATTCACTGATAGATGGAACTGTAGCGTGACGTCAAAAAATTAGATGGCGGTGTTAAGATTCTCCGTGAGTTAATGACCCTCCGGCGTGTTCATCGATTAATGTACGACTGACCTAAAGTTGCATTTTGGAATCACGTCCTACTTGGAATGATTACCAGAAACCTCTTTAGTTAAGTTCATTAAACAACGACTTCGGTTATTTTTTTTTAATACTAAAATAGGTCCGCCCTTCGTCCTCTCGGGAAAAGGTGTCTACGGACCTGTCATACTGTATATATATATATATATAATAAAAAAACTGTCGTAAACAGTGTTTGTTTACTTTGTCGGCCGGAAAAAGTAAACCCCAACTTCCTACTCTACAGTAGTTAATAAAATTGGCCGTAACACTCCCTCTCGCCTCATTCAGGACAGGAGAAGCCATTTGATGATATTGTCCCTCAAAAAATGGTTAGCGCGGTCACCCATCCGGTTCGCGTCCTCACCTGTTTCCGCTTAGGGTACACGCTGGAGGCGGCGCAGTGTAGAGGCCTGTCCCCCGTGCCAACATGTTGGAAGTTGACCAGGGCTTCCACGCTACATTCTCCAGGCAAAGACGGGGTGCTACCACTAGTCGATGCTTGGGAGTTCTGGAAAACAAATTACATCGATTCAGGTATTTTGGCTTAAGATCTAATCAGTGAGCTGCGCGACATCGCCGCGACCGCGCACGCTGCTCATGAGGAAGAACCCCTCTGTGGTTCGAAACTAGTAGAGCTTATCTCAGTATATCCTCAATCTCCCCAATCCCTGAATCCCCAACGATCCTCAAACTCCTAATCCCCAAATGGCCGGTAACGCACTTGTAACGCCTCTGGTGTTCCAGGTGTCTATGGGCGACGCCGATTGCTTTCCATCAGGTGATCCGTCTGCTTGTTTACCGGCTTATGCCATAAAAAAAATATATATTCACGTGAGTAACCCAAGATTTTAGTTAATTTAGTATGTCTCACGATAGTTATTATAACAATTATAACATATTATAACATGATATGTACCCAGCATACTGAGTATGCCTGGCTTACACTGAGTGGGTGACCCTTTTAGCATAGACATGTTGTCAGCGTCTCTTTTCTAATTCTTCTGTTTCAATTTTTCAACTCTTATATTTTTATTACTTCCACTGTCACATCTTGATTGTCTTTTTTTATTTTTTTATTTATGCTGCATCGTGCCTGGTGCTGAATAAATGTTTTTTCTTTCTTTCTTCTTTCTAACATAAGATCCAATCGCTTATTATTTAAGGCTATAATTAAGCATTATTTTAAAACCGCTCACCTGATGTTGGTGTCCCGATACAGCCGTCAGCTGTTTCTTCACCCTGGCCGGCTCAGCCAGTCTGCAGGCTTCCAGTAGACAGTGGCCTCGGTACTCGACTGGAGAAGAAATAAATAAATTGTTACAATAAAAACGTCTAATATAAAAAATATTGTACAAATTGAAGATATTTTAAAGAATGCTGCTGGTAACAATGTAATATCTTCTTTTCTTCTTTATATATATAATTCTTCTATAAGTGTGTATGTCACTGAACTTCTCTCCAACGACTGGACCGATTTTGATGAAATTTTTTGTGTGTGTTCAAGGGGATCTGGGAATGGTTTAGATTCAAACCAGCCCGGCAGATGGCGCTGCAGTCGATGTTTAGGTTATTTATCCTAAACAGCTGAACTGATTAGAATGAATTTTTGTTTATACATTCAAGTGGATATGCAGTACGTCTGTTGGGTCCGCTAGTTCTATATAAAAATGTTGGCAATATTGTTGTTAAGTTGGTATTAAAAAATATGGCTTCGAGTTGATTGTAGCGGTTGTTGTCCTTTTAGTTTATTAATTAAATAGAAGTTTAGTTGAGTGATCTCTGGTTGTTATACTTATATTTCCACAAATGCTATATGAGTTCAACAGCCTATACATGCCCACTGCTGAGCAAAGCCTCTTCTTACACGGAGAACGTTTGAGCATTAATCACCACGCTTGCTCAAAGCGGATTGGCGATATCAAACTTATAATTAGAAATTATAAGCCCTCCTCCTCCTGCCTGGGTGAGGCGGAGGGGAGTGTCAGACTCTTACTGACTAAACACCACCCCGTTTCTTCTCCTGCACGTCGAGCCGGAGCCCCGGTTACCCGTTAGGTTCTCCGCGACAATGGTAAGTAAGTATAAGAATAAGTTAAGTTTTTTAAGAATAATACTCACAAGCTAATCTCTCCTGAAGTTCCCTGGTAGGAGCTACGTCCAGCGCGGACTTCCCGTGGCAGTTCAGCAGAGTAGGATCCGCACCCTCGCTCAGGAGGAGGGAACATACCTACAAATAAATATAATTATGTGAATTACTGGAAATGTGCCCGGTATATGGCAATAGGCTTACCCCCTATTACATGGGACTCATAACACGAATAGTGAAAAGTGGGTGTTACATTATACATATATTTTTGGGACAAGCCCGCCACTACCTCTTAAAACCGCTGCAACTCCTGTAATCCAAGATCTACAGTAGATACAACCATGAAAACACCGGGACACTGAAGTCTAGCGCGTCCCAAGGACATGAATAACTGTCTTGATTCCCGCAGAAGATATTATAAGAGAAGAAAAAAACTATAGTTTCCACTTGTAACGCCTCGGGTGTTCCAGGTGTCCATGGACGACGCCGATATTCTTACCTGATGGTAAGATATAGGTGATCCGTCTGCTCGTTTACCGGCTTATCCCATAAAAAATACTTACACTTTTATAATTATTTTAGTAAGATTAATAAATACATACCTCCAATCTCGCTTTGCTAGCTGCCTCATGTAGCGGTGTGAAGGCCCAAAGGTCGGTAGCGTTAACATCAGCGCCAGCGCGAACTAGTAACTCTGTGACCTCGTAGTGACCGTACGAACACGCGTTGTGGAGGGGGACTAGACCACTAAGGGGAAAAAAGAGAGGTATTTAGAGAAATGAAGTAAAGTAAAACATTAAATCATTTGATTATATGCATTAACGTGATATAGTAACACGGTCTTTCGTTGAAAAGACCATGGTCTTCTGAGTAGACCATGATATTGTCACTAAGTATTAATTTTTATATTACATACTATAGGATGTACATGCCCAATTTTCAAAAGACCGCAGCATTTTCACAAGAACACAATCTATCTAAATCAAATCTTACTAAATAAATCTTATTATTCAGTAGACGACGATACCATTATCACTAATACCTAACATTTATTTATAAACCACAATAAAACACGGTCTTTTCACTAAGTAGACAATGGTCTTCTCAGTAGACCATGGTCTTTTCCGTTCAAAAACTCACCCTTTATCCTTAGCATGCACATCGGCGCCTCGTTGTAGCAGTAACCTTACAGCTCTTGCCCTATTATACCCAGCGGCAAGATGTAAGGGGGTAGACCGTCTGCCGTCGCTAGCGTGGACGTTGACGTTTAGAGGGGTCAGCAGAGATGCCAGTCGGTCGTCAGCTCCCGACCTAGCTGCTTCTAGGACATCCGCTGCACAGTATTCACCTGGAACAAAGGATTTTTATTAATGTGATGGAAGCTAAAGAAGAGAGCTAACTAACTCGCACCAGTAACCTAAACTAGCAGACGGATCACCTGATGGTAAGCAATCAGCGCCGCCCGGTTTGTTCACGGTCAAAACATTTGTATAGTAAGATTCGTTTCTCACCTGTCAACACAGGCCTGGTAGCGGAGTCTGCTAGGTCGAGGGGAGTCTTGCCTTCCGTGTTACGGATATTCGGATCAGCACCGTGTTGCAGCAACGCTGTGTAACAAATTGTACATACATTAAACATCTATATAAATAAAAATCAATTGCCGTTCGTTAGTCTTGCTAAAACTCGAGAACGGCTTCAGATTCTTAGATTTTGTTACATAGTTCGGTACAGATCGACTTAATAAATGCGGTACAGATCGACTTATTTATTTATGTATGTATATATTAGTTTATCCTTTATTGTTAAATAAAATCACTGCTTGCCTCTTGCACCTACCAATTACTCTTCTCTGCATCACCCAAAGGTCAGACTGGTAGAAAATGCCTGCGGCATTAAGTCCACCTTTTGTACATTTTGTGCATGAAGAATATTAAATAAATAAATAAAATAAAAGCATTTAAATATACATTACCCGGTCTCAATGATTCAAAAAATACTAGGTCCCAACTTTTTATATGATGGGCCGATGTTTGATCACTATCTTGCTTGCTGGTAAGCGATGATGAGCACGTGGACCCATAAGCAACCTACTCACTCGGGCCTTGAAGACTCAGGAAACTCAGACTCCGACAAAGAATTCCACTCCTTAGCAGTACGCACAAGGAAGTTTGATGTGAAGCGTTTCGTGCGTGTGGATGGGATATCTACCACGAATCGGTGACGCTTCGCGAATTGTCTTGTGTTACAATGATGGAAAGGACTAGGGGGAATCAGTTTGTGCAATTCAACCGAAAGGCTTTTTTTAAGGGGGGAAAATCATCGAATGACTGCTCCTGCCTGGGTGAGGCGGGAGGGAGTGTCAGACTTACTGACTAGAAACTACCTCGTTCCTTCTCCTGCACGTCGAGCCGGAGCCCCGGTTACTCGGTTGTCCGCGACTCCGAATAGGGATCGGCCCTGTTGGGCCCCATCTGTGGTGGTCTGATGGCTCTTTGAGGCCGTCCGCTCAGGAACCGAAAGGCTAGCAACCTTACTCCTGCTAGCTCCAATAGAACTCAAAATACACTCACCGATACACACATCCACCTTGCCCTTGGCAGCTGCTTCATGCAAGGGCGTATACCCCCAATTGTCTCTAGCGGCTGGAGCAGCTCCAGCTCCTAACAGCGCCCTGACCACGTCAGCGTGGCCGAAGGAGCATGCGTTATGCAAAGGCTGTAAGCCACCATCGTCACGAGCCTGTAACGCTGCACCGGCCGCTATCAAGATTTCTACTACCTCCCTGCGACCGTATCCTGGAAGAAATCAGATGGTTATAGTTATATTTTTGTGTTCAGATATTATTGTTATTTGTAAATCAAAGTCGTCGTTGGCCGAGTGGTCGCAAGTGCGACTGCTGGGCAAGGGGTCTCGGGTTCGATTTCCGCGTTGGGCAAAGTATTATTGGGTTTTTCAAAAATCCTCAATAGTAGCATGGAGTCTGGAATTGTGTCTGGTATATGGCAATAGGCTTACCCCCTATTACATGGGACTCAAAACATAAATAGTGAAAAGTAGGTGTTACATTGTACAGTGGCATTAAGTGCTGTAACGTGCACATCTGCCTACCCCTACGGGGATAAAAGGTGTGATGTTATGTTAACCAAAGTATGTTATGAAAAATATTACGTAACGTGATGTTTTTTGCAAATATGCCAAAAAAGGTTACTTTAAAAAAACTGTTTTACACTTTTGACATATTTAATAACATATCTGTGAGAACTGTAAAGCAGCTTGAGATAATACAAATTACAAAACTTACTAAAAAAAAAACAATAATAAAATATCGTAGCCTAACATGGCGCTCATTGTAAATAAAAACTGCACTATATTACGCAAAAACACCGAAAAATAACAGATGCAAAAATTCAACAATCTATTGTTCTTCAGCCAATATCCTTCACCTTGAAACAAAACGATTTCACTTCTTAAACTGAAATGTAATAAAAGAATCACTTTGTAGATCTAATAAATAATTAATTGCATATCTTTGCAAATTAATTAACTAGCTATCTCGTTGCTCAAGCGATTACAAGCGTTTTGTTTTTATAATAACTATCGTGAGACATACTAAATTAACTAAAATCACGGGTTACTCACGTGAGTATACTGAGAAAAGCTCTACTAGTTTCGAACTACAGAGGGGTTCTTCCTCAAGAGCAGCGTGCGCGGTCGCGGCGACGCGCGACGTCGCGCAGCTGACTGGCTGGCGTTGGTGCTCGCCTCAGTGTTGCTACTTCCGCCGGAGTTGGAGGCAAACGCTCATAGTGTCCGACAGAGGGCGCGTTTGGCTCGCAGCGCAAGTAGCAACACCGAGGCGAGCGCCAACGCCAGCCAGTGAGCTGCGTAGCGTTGCCGCGACGGGACATTCTGCTCATGAGGAAGAACCCCTCTGTGGTTCGAAACTAGTAGAACTTTTCTCAGTATATTCACGTGAGTAACCCGCGATTTGACAAGCGTTTTAACTAGTTGAGGGAGGGAAAATCATCCAATGACCCCCGTCCTGAATCCTCCCAACGATTACATAACGGAGATAGGTTGGTACGGAGTTTAACGCGTTGGCGACGTCTAAATCAATCATTTATTTATTTAAGACATCAATGGTCCACTGGTAAAGAAACCGCCACTACGACCTTACACCTTTTTTTTGAGAGGGGAAATCATCGAATAAAAAAAATCTCCCGCCTGAGTGAGGCTACACTGCTTTAAAAGTTATTTTCAATTCTAATATGTTTTTAAAACGTTATCCCAGACTTTTTGTAAAAGGGGGAAAATCATCGAATGTCTGCTCCCGCCTGGGTGAGGCGGGAGGGAGTGTCAGACTCTTACTGACTAAATACCACCCCGTTCCTACTCCTGCACTTCGAGATGACCTTAGCCCTGGACACGCAGTCCTTGTCGTGAAGTCCCTAATGACTATTACATTGCCATTCGATAATTTATTGTCGCAGAGAACCTAACGGGTTACCGGGGTTCCGGCTCGACGTGCAGGTGAAGGAACGTGGTGGTTTTTAGTCATTAAGAGTCTAACACTCCCTCCCGCCTCACCTGGGCGGGATCAGTCATTCGATGACTTTCCCCCCTTAAGCAAAAAATACACCTTTTTTTGAGAGGAGAAATCATCAAATGACTTCTCCCGCCTGAGTGAGGCGGGTGGCGTGTCAGAATCTTACTGACTAAAAACCACCGCGTTCTTACTGCTGCACTTCGAGACGACCTTACCCCTGGACATGTCTGGACTCCCTCCACTCCCTCCCGCCTCACCCAAGCGAGAGTAGTCATTGGATGATGATCCCAACTCAAAAAAAAAGGTTTCCTCACGATGTTTTCCTTCACCGTTTGTCAGTGGTGTCTAGATAATCTTACAAAGTACATATAACTCAGAAAAAGTCACATTGGTACTTGCCGTTGGTGGTTTCGAAACCGCACTCTCATGCATGAGAAGCGGGCGTCTTAACCTTCGAGCCATCACGACACTTATGCATAACATGAAATTTTTTTATGGAATAGACAAACATGTTGACGGATCACTGATCAACTGACGAATGAGTGTCAGACTCTTACTGACTAAAAACCACCCCGTTCCTACTCCTGCACTTCGAGCCGGAGCCCCGGCAACCCGTTAAGTCTTCCGCGGCTCCGTATCATGATGAAACCTGGGCTTACAATTTCTTATTATAAGTTTGAATGGCAAGCATGGTGATTAATGTTCAAACGTTCTCCGTGTGAGAAGAGGCTTTGCTCAGCAGTGGGCCATTACAGGCTGTTGATGTGATGCATAACAAAATCCACGTTTAGTTATAATCTATGAGTCACACATGTTTTGTAATTTCATTAATCAGAAACACTTGAATATTCAGCGAAATCGTTTCACTGATAACAAAATTTAATAAGACATGGTCTTTGTGATAATGATAACATCTGATATATTAGGTAGGGCAAAACGGGAGATGTGCCGACCACAAGTAACTTGGAATCCGATCACTCTTTAAACCAATCAGTCTGCCAATATCGCGCAGAACCTATGTTATACCTATCTTTATTATCTTCTAATTTTATAATTTAGCTTTTATCTTTTTATTCACACTGTCTTGTGTTAACCTTTTATATTGTTATTTTATCTAATTATATTGTACTGTTATTTTTTGTTCCTTGCATTTATGCCGTATGCCGAATAAAACTCTTTTCATTTCATTTTATTCATTTCATTTCTATCTCAATGTAATGGGGCGTACCGTTTTTTGCTTACTAGGTGGCGCTAGTGAAAATTTTAATAAGACATGGTCTTTGTCTTTGTGACAATGATAACATCTGATATTTTAGGTAGGAGATATGGGAGATGTGTCGACCACAAGTAACTTGGGATCCGAGCACTCTTGAAACCAATTTCAGTGTAATGGGGCCTGCCGTGTTTAGTGTAGTGTGTGCATCTCGTTTCTTATCCAATAGGAAATTAGCTAGTGCCACACCATTAGACGTTTAATATTTGACAGCTCCTCTGATTGGACAATGGCTTCCTACATTTTCGCCATCATACATTGTGACCAAAAAGACCAAAAAGCCTCCATTTCGGGCTCGTACATAAAACTGCGATACGCGAACGCACCCACGACACAGGAGAAAATCCTAGTGTGGAGCATAAAAAAATTATAATATTTGCAAAATCGGTTCAGCTGTTCTCGAGATTTGCGCTTAATAACACATTGAGCGATTCATTTTTATAGTTATTGTTATTAATAAGTGCTTTTATTTATATTGACTCAGCTGTTTGAGTCATCAAACTAAGCCAATATAATAATCTACTTATACATTTCTTCAATTTTAAGTTTTAGTCATTTCATTTTAGTGAATTGTTTTATGGTAATATTGTTATCAACAGATTTGAAGTGCCTTGGGGTAGATTTCCGGATCAGACAAAGTATTACTGAGTTTTTCAATAATTCCCAGTAATTAGCATGAAGTTTGAATTATGCCCCTTGGCAATAGGCTCACCTCCTAATACATGGGACGCATAACATAAATAGTGAAAAGTAGGTGTTACATTTTACAGTGGTATTAAGTGTCGTAATGTGCACCTCTTCCTACCCCTTTGGGAATTAAAGTGTGTTAAAAAAATTATGTTATGTTCCGTAGATTTGAATGGTACCGTTATTGGTGACTGTATGTACAGACAACACACAGCTATAACTACTAAACATGACACGCAGCACAAGAGCGTAGGGCAGTGCCAAAAGAATGTTTTTTTGCTTTGGTTTATGGTATCTTAAATCATCCCCTGAATTTGTTTATACAAATGTAGTCTCTTAACATTGGAAATAAGGTCTATAATGTAGTTAGTGGAGAGTGGTCACCCATGACCGCTTGGGAATATACGGGTTAAGTCCTGTACTCCAATTGGTATAATTGGTGACAACAATAAGTACAATTTTAAAAACTATTTTTATTTAGTATTATGCTAATTTACATAATCCATGTTCACATAAAAGAAGCCAGGGTCAGCGGTAAGAAAGGTCATAATCTAGAAAAGGCTATGATAATAAAAAAAAGGTATTAAAACCTTACCTTCAGAATAGGCACAACAATCAATAAACAATGGGCAACACATCAAAAAAAATACAAAGATACAGCCTAACCAAACTAAAACTTTTTACATACTGGTCGCATAACACTGTCTACCCCAGAACGGATCGGATATATCGTGATAACGAGCAAAAATTACTAGAGCGTGGAACATATTACGTGAACTCAAAATTTTTGGGTCTCGCAAAAAAAATTTCGTCATCACAACATTATGTCAGTAAAGAAACAAATAAAACACAACAAAAGGCATAAAACACGAATCGCCAATAGACTGGCGTTACTAATTATGCAATTTTTTTAATGTTTCTCTTCACTTCCTACTTAGGACTGTCCTTTCACTACTTTTTAAAAACAGTGCATTATGACGAAATTCACGCGTGTTTATGGATTGTTTGTTTTTAATTACCTGCAGCGAAGTGTAGAGGAGTCGACTTTCGTCCAGCCGTATCCCTGGCATTCACCGTTTGAGGAGTAATTAACTTTTTTACTCGAACAGCATCGCCAGTTTTGCATGCCTCAAATAATTCACGGAGAGGATCTGACGGCGGTGGTAGAGCGTCAAGCGCCGATCCGAGTATCGAACGACGGCTCGACATGATTATTTCGCGTTTCACATTTAATTTTCGTGTTTTAAACGCACATTATCGAGATATTATTAAATAAAAACACGTATAACACAGCTGCTTGCTACCTTTATTTGACAATTGGTTTTGGGGTTACTACTCTAAATTTTTATTACCCTACAAAATCATGTACAGATGACAGAATAATTGAACTATAAAAAAAAAGAAGGAGGTTATTTTTCATTTGTAACAAGTATACAGGGTGTCCCTGAAGTCGACGATCAAACGGCATCCGATGATCAACAAGGATTGTATTAAATATTTTTCTGATAAAGGTACGCCTTTATCAGAAAAATATTTAATACAATCCAAGTCAAAATCTTACAGGTATGTCTAAGACAGGTTCGTCTGAAAATGAGCTCTAAAGGTCAGTTAGCGTAGTATGATAAAAAGTGCTTTTCAGTGCTCGGCGGCTGCTGCCGCGGCACTGCTCGCTACGCTCGCTCGCCTCGCGCCTTGTGAGGGTCACAATTCTAACCTAACCTAGCCATATGTGTCGGTGTGCCCAAAAAGTGATTTTATATTATTATACTGAGCCGACTGACCTTTAGGCCTCTTTTTCAGGCGAACTTGAATCCCTAGATAAAAAGTGCCCACATAATTTTCACCTTATTTTTATTTAGGTATACCAAACGATATAAATAAAAAACCAGCTAATTATAAGAATTTTAATTTTTTATGTCTTAAACTCCTTGCACACCCTTTTGTTGAGGAGTGGCTTGAGAGACGCTACGGCGTCCTCACCTACCGCCTGACGCAGGTCCTCACCGGGCATGGAAGTTTTGGGAGGTACCTGTGTCTGATAGGGCGGGAGGAAACGCCCAGGTGTCATCACTGCGAGGACCGCCCTGAGGACACGGTGGAACACACTGTAGCGGAATGCCCTGCGTGGGCTGAGCACCGCCGTGCCCTCAGGGAAGTGATCGGCGATGGCGACCTCTCGCGTCCGGGCCTAGTGCAGGCCATGATGCGGAGCGAGGGGGACTGGGATGCCGTCTCCTCCTTTTGCGAAGCAGTCATGCTAGCTAAGGAGGAGGCGGGACGCGTGAGGCAGCGAAGCGCTGCCTCCTCGCAACCCAGCCATCGCGAAGGACACACCGGACGTCGGGGATCGCGGGACGATCTCCGGCCACCGTAAGCGCGGGCCTGCGGACGGCGAGCATGGGTGGCTCCCCGTCCGACCAGAAACAGACACGAGCGTACGGCGCGTCGCGTTCCGCGCGCGCCTCAAAGAGCCATCAGACCACCACAGATGGGGCCCAATAGGGCCGATGCCGATTCGGAGTCGCGGAGAACCTAACGGGTAACCGGGGCTCCGGCTCGACGTGCAGGAGAAGGAACGGGGTGGTTTTTAGTCGGTAAGAGTCTGACACTCCCTTCCGCCTCACCCAGGCGGGAGCAGTCATTCGATGATTTTCCCCCCTTAAGAAAAAAAAAAACGTCTATTGACGATTTCATGACGAATGCTTGCATCTTGCGCAGAAGCAATCAAAACTGTGTTTCACGTGTCCCTCGGAACGGCAACGTTGCGTAGTTTCACTCACTCGGAGATATACATTTTGAGGTTTTTTTTGTCACACATTTGATCCGAAATATCGTTATTCATTAGTTGGTCAAATGATGCATCGTGGATACAGTTTTGATTGTTTGTACTTATGATAGAGGATTCGGCTTGGCAGGAAGCCACTGGATGCAGGTCGCTTCCAACCGGTCTATCATCATTTGGGGAAGGCCTTTGTTCAGCAGTGAACGTCTTGTGACTGATGTAACGATGATTATTTATTTATTTATTTATTTATTAACGCTTCATGCACAAAGTGTACACAAGGTGGACTTAATGCCGCAGGCATTTTCTCCCAGTCTGACCTTTGCTTATGCTGATTATGCTGATGATGATGTTAAAAGACTTTTGATTGTTTGTTTATTTACTTAATAAGAAGGGATAATGAAACCTACACAATTTCCCGTAATTTAGGGATGTTTTTTGGTAACTAATCTTGACACCATAAACAACATTGTTGTTGTCAATTTTTTTTAATTATATCCAGTATAGTAATTTTTTTATTTCCTGACCTTTTTTGGTAAAGTTATTTAATTTTAGTATCTTATTTAATTACTGTTTTCGAAAAATTCTAACTCACTGTAATAAATGGAAATACTTTTTTACACCATGTGACCAAAAATTTATTACGGTTACGTTTTGTTTCGTAGCTTGAACTGTTCGATACTTAGACTTTGTTCTTATATACCATAATTAACTTCCTTCTGTTATGTACCCAATACTCGATATTACATCAATGTAATTTCACATGGTTATATATTGTCGGTACTTCAAGATAGTATGTAGCAAAAATAGGTCTGTTTGAAAAATATGAAAATCTTTCGCAATAACAAAACGTTTATTCTATCTTGTCTATGGCCTTTAGTTGACGAAATCAAAATGGCGTCTTTTACGGGCTAGCGCTTATCCGCCGCATACTGAATACCGTTTCCTAAAATCGTGGGTGTAACTATTTGTTAGTGATTATAACAATTTGTGAACGACTATTTAGTGTTGAAGTGTATTTTTTTTTACTACGGACTCTTGGATATTGTTTCGACACATCTACACGAGCTCCGTCAAAGGTATGTCTCCTTTCACCTATCGTATATTAAATATTGATAATCGTCATATTATCGGGAAGTCGACGTAAAAAGTTGCGTTAGTTTCTCGTAGAGCAGTATCTGTGGCGCGTGGATATTGTATTATCGCGGACGGAAGCCCCGTTCTTTAGATTAGTAGGTGAATGAGGATTGAGGGAACAGGTTTTTATTGAGTCGAGGACGCAGTTGCGAGGTTGGATCAGCTCTTCACTTTTGTCGGTTCCTCATTCTTGTCGCGCGTCGCACCGTCTACGGGTTCGCCAAAGTGTTATATGTACAAATATTAGCCCGTACGTAGAACGTGTTTTAACTTAATTAGTGGCCAGGCGCGGTCGCCTCGCAGTTTCTCTAATTTCTCGGGCAAACGCTCCAGTGTTTGTGTTTTCTCGTATTTGGATTGCAGTGTTGTGATTTTGCAGTGTGCCAGATCGATAATCGAAAGTTTTAACGTTATAAAACAAGGTAATGCACTATTTGTTTCTATGTCAGTTAAAAATATTTGAAATATTAGAGTTTGGATCGAGCTTATGCCTATTACGGCCAATTAGCGCGTATTAGTGGCACTAATTAAAATAAATACTTGTTTTCAACCAGTCTGTTGGTGATTAGTTTTGGTGTTAGAGTGTATTCTATGATATTAGGCACTGGAAATGAGGTATTACTCCAAAGTTAACATTTAAACTATGAATAAGTATACATTCAAGTCAATTATGGTATAAGTGAGTCATTTGACAGGATGTACAGTTGATATTAAAACATACATTACACATTTATCACATAATATCCATTAAACATATTTTCAAATATTATCATCATACAAAATATTTAATTTGGTAGCTTCCTCAATTGAAAACTGACTCTCTCAAATTTGTGATACTGAAAATTATTTTTTCATCCTTTATTTGACATTATAATTGGATCCCTAATTTTCATGTCTATTTAGTAAATTAAAAAAAAAAAATAAGACCTCGATTCACAATATTCATAGAAAACTATCATACTGATGTTCATTAATGTAATTTTCTAGCTATTTGTGGTTGAAAACAGGTTTAATTAGACTTAATTGGTGTAATAATAAAGTACCTTTTTAATTGAATAACTGTATATAAGTTTATTTGTTTAATATTTTTTTAATTATTAGGTTTGTTCGGTTCTTACTAGTACTATATTAATGTTTATATTTGTTAGTCTTTCATTCACATTTCAATTATTGTTTATACTTGACCCATATATCCCCAAGCGGTCACCGGTGACCGCTCTCCACTAACTACATTCTAGACTTTATTTCCAATGTCTAGAGACTACTTTTGTATGTACAAATTTAGGGGATGATTTTCAATACGGAGCCGCGGAAGACTTAACGGGTTGACGGGGCTCCGGCTCGAAGGGCAGGAGTAGGAACAGGGTGGTTTTTAGTCAGTAAGAGTCTGACACTCCCTCTCCCTCACCCAGGCGGGAGAGGTCATTGAATGATTTTTCCCCCTCAAGGGGGTGGTTTTCAACAATTTTCAACGGGTTAAGAGGTTGGAGAGTGATATACACACAAAATCTCTGAATTGATCTCCATTTTTGACAGAATCTCCATGCAAGTAATGTATAAATTGATCTTACTCTACATTTTTACTCCTTGAACGAAGATACAGGTAATAGCTATATAGCACATGCCATCCTGCATGAGAACCTGGTCCCATAACTTCGGGCCACCAGAACATTTTACTAAGACCTGGAACAACAATTTGTGGATCACAATCACAATGTGTTAGAAAAATTTTAAAAACATGAAACAAATTAAATTGTTGTATATTGGACAGTGGAAGCGGATCAATCTTCTTCAAACTCTGTCAAAGTTATTCATAAAATTTTCGATTTCATTTTAATACAAAAAAGTTGAAGATGTAATAGATACACTTGACATGAAAGGATAGGACTTGCCAACATATAATCATACATACATACATACATAACTTCACTCCTGTGTCCCATAGGGGCAGGCAGAGACTATGGCACACCAATTACTACGATTCCTACATACCTTTTTCGCTTTATCAACAGTCATCAATCAGACACTTATTCATGCATGCTCGTCGGTTAAGGATACTTTTAATGTGACCCTTCTTTAATATATCACCAATCTGGTCAGGACATAATACTTAATATGATATGCCTCCTACATATAATCACTACCCCTAAAAAACCACTCAAGGAAAATCCAAAAGTTATCAAAATGGAAAACTTTCATTTTAGTTATCTATCAGACCTGCTTTCAGAATATCTTGCAGTTATCTCTTATCTCTAAGGAGTCTGTTATCTCAAGTACCATCGCTGTTATCTTTGCCTTGAGTAGATAAATTGAGAATTTAGCTTGATATAATATTGTTATGGCATTTATGTTTCTGTGGGGTAGGTAGACGTTATATCATTTCTATAATTCAATGAAAAATAAAAGTTGTACTTTAGGATTTTCTCCTGTG